TCCCCCCCCCCCCCCCCCCCCCCCCCCCCCCCCCCCCCCCCCCCCCCCCCCCCCCCCCCCCCCCCCCCCCCCCCCGCAATCCATCCAGACTAGACTCGACTTTGACTTATCGGTTCATTCAGCCACCGACGAGACAAAGCCGGAGGATGCTCTTGTTATTCCGCATCATCAGACCGAGAGGCTTGCATTTGTGCTCCCACATGTGATACTCGCGAACCGCCTGTGTAAATCAAGCTCAATGGTACTGTGTAGAGTCTACCTGGTAGCAGCAGCGGCAATGGCACCAGAAACCGGGTAGATGTGAGCCCATGTAAGGCAAGGTAGGTAAACAACATTAACCTTTTGGCCCCCCAGAGTGGGCTTCTCATTCGATGTAAGACATGGTAACATCCTGCTCTTGTCAGGCACGCTGCGCCGATAATCTCCGCGCTGATTACCCTCGCTCGCACAAAACACCAGACATGTCGGCTCAAAGATGGCCGCGCTTGGACGGGCTGAAGTGATATTTGCTTCTGCTTGTTCCCACGCAAGCGCCCATGGGGGAAAGCCACTCGGAACGACAACTGCAAGGTTCATGCCCTCTCATTTCCACAGCATCAGCACAGACATTTTCTAGCCCCTCCTCCTCGCGACGAATTGATTTGCCGGCAAAAGTTCTCACGCCCGGCAGAAGGAAAAACAAGTGGACGGGGATAGATGGAGGAGAACCCCACAGGCATGTGGGAGCACAAATCTAAACCTGCCACACATGAGCGGTCCTTGGTTTCTGGGCGCATAATCTGTGTAACACAATGACCTGTCTGGATGACTTGTACTTTTTGTCCCCTTGTTCGTTTGTGAGGGGGGAGGGGACAGAGAGAAGAGGAGAAAGAGAAAGGCCTCGGGCTGGCCTTGGTTAGGTACTGACCTACATTGCTTGGATTGGATTGTTGGCATCTCTCCCCGTGTCTCTCGGTGGGCAATGTACGGCTTGATGTTCAAGAGGAGCTGTAGCAAAATATCCCAGAATGAACAACCGCATGATGATGAAACCAGATAACTTCCCCCCCTTCTCGCTTTAGGAGATGCGTACAGTACGGTACGATAACATGCTGCAAGCCAGTCTTTTAGCTACCTGTACACAGCATTAAACGTAGCAGCCATCTGCCGGCTTGTAAAAAAATCCAGGCACGCGTCTGGGCTGGTGTGCCACCACAACATCTGGATACTTGCGCCCACATATTGCAGAGGTAGATTTACGCCTCAATCCTCGTTTACCACGGCGCTTCAGCAGGTATCCCCGTGTAGTTCATCTTGTATACCTAGCATGTTGCCCTCGTCATTGTATTTGAGTGGCTGGCTGCGTATTATTGCTTCTCCTCCTCCGTGGATTTTGACAGCCAAATCAACCCCCCCAACGGCAGCTGGATAAGATCGCAGGTTTGTTTGTTGCTTGCAAACTCGCTACTCTCTACCATGTTTTCAAACCCTCTTCTCTTCTTGTTTTTGGCTGCTTCGACACGGGAACTTGCACGAGAAATCACCTTTTGCTCGTCTTCCCCTCTCCTTTCATGTGCTTCCCTTCCCCACCCATTCTCCCAGTCAACAACATATCCCGTGTAACTCGCTCTCGAACACAACAGCCAATTCTTGTGCTCCGGCGTGATAATTTTCTCGAGGCCCCGCTGGGAATACTTGTCCCGTCGACGGGAGCCTTCCAAGGGATCGCTTGGGCGCATAAAAGGAGCCCTCGACTCCTGTCCGAGCTCGATGTTGTCCTGAGCAGAGCCAGATATAAGGCAGCTATCAGCGATAACAGAGCAATTACCAGGCTTTAGGTACCCAGGCAGTTGCAAACGCGAATACGAAACAGCTGCAAACGCAGCAGCAAACGGAAGCATCAAAAAAGCAGCAGCTGCAATTCCCATTGTTGTTGTTTTCTCTCCCCCTCTCCTTCCTTCCTATTTCTTCTCCTTCTTCACTCTCTTCCTTTGTCTCCTCTCTTCCCTCCTTGCACCACCTTGAGCTCTTTCATCTTTCTGGATGATTTGCAGCATCTGTGCAGGCTTTGAACATGCCTATGATATTTTCAGAACACATGGAGCAATACGATCTCGAAACCGTGTTTCCTCGAAATGCGAACTTTGTGGTACCGTATCAACGGACAGAGGTCGAGTACGTAGACGACTTCATTGCGTTACAATCCAGTTTCTGTCTTTCTTGCCGCCGTCACTGACTCTCTTCTGCTCGCTTGCCCATCTATAGCATCGTCGTCATCCATGGTCTCAACATTGAGGCCAGCTACTATGTGCACAGAGACACCTGGACCTACGGTGGCAAGATGTGGCCCAGAGATATCCTACCCAGCTGCTTTGGAAAGCGCTGTCGCGTCATGCTCTTCTCCTACAATGACGGCCTCTCCGTGAATGACGAAGACACCCGATTCATCAAGCACTGTGATCGTCTTCTTCGACTTCTCATGGAGAACCGACTTGACGACCCTACTCGGTCGCTCGTCTTCATCTGCCATGACGTTGGCGGACTCATCGTCAAAGAGGTAGGCCCCCAAGAGCCTTCCTTCGTAGAAGCAACTCAAAAAGAGTTGACGGCTAACGTTGCATTTTGCGATGCTCAATGTAGGCATTGGCCAAGGCCCATTTGGACAAGACCGGCACCATTCACATCATCGATCAGTGTACTCGCATGTTGGTCTTTTTCAACACCCCTCACCACAACGTTGCCAAGTCTGTGCGAAACATTGCCAGCGCTGCCGTCCGTCCCACGCCTCCCGAGGTCCTTGACATGCTGGACAAGGCATGCAACGAGCACGTTGAACGCATGGCACCTCTGGAGAATAGAGGCCGTCTCTACCGTCGACGTGTGGTCATCAATTTCCATGGCACCAACTGGTACCGTGGCAAGCAGCTCGTATGTGTTAATCCCCTCACAACGTCTCTCTTTTTTCAGGGTGAAGCTGATTAACTGATTAACCCTGTTCTCAAGCTTGTTGAAAAGGAAGACAGCATGATGAATGTCAGGCCCGAATATTGGGAGAAGCATTTCTCCATCTACGGCGACCACACGTCCATCTGCAGGTATCCTCACAGCGAGGACATCACCTGCGAGACTGTTGTCAAGACGATTGGCCTCAACACCTATCTTGCCTTGCGTATGTTCCCTACTCTTGAAATCATCCACAGGGCGAAGTTTCGCCTTTGAAGGATCCACCATCTCTCCCAGACATCCAAAAGGAGCTTCCACTAAGTTGCCCAGAAATGGATTGCTAGACGCGAAACATTTGCGAAAGCGAGCTCTCCGGCGACCTTTTATACCATCGCCTCGCCACTTGTCCCGGCTTGCTATTTGGTATTGATTTGATAAAGGCGAACAGGCAGTTAACTAGATTGATTTGCTGCGCTCGTTTAATGATGAAGGCATTTGGTAGTTGTGGGCGTTTAGGTAGTGCTTTTGGAAGGGTAGTGAGACTAAATGAGATTATGAGACTGACACTTTTCAATACTGCTGCCACCGTCGCCATCGTGTCAATTGCGTACCTGCAAGTACTCTACTATGATTGTATTTTCCCCTTCTTCTTCTTCTTCTTCTTCTTCTTCTCCTTCATTTCTTTGATTCATTTCTCCCTTTGTATCACCAGTGACGCGTGTCTCTTGCCCATCCGTTCCCTTTGTCCCTACCTCCTCCTGGGGCACTTCTGTGTACATGTAACCATGTACCAAAAACACACGCACAAGGAAAATCCCAACTTCCAGCCTCAAACTTTCAACTTTCAATTTCCACATTAAACTACTTGAACCATGATGCAATCTGTCAAGTTCAAACTTTTCTCCGGCTACGATGAAATCCAGCCACCACTGAAGATCCGTCCATCTGGAGGCGTCGATTCATGTCAGCTACGACCAAACTGCAGCAATGGCCGCCCCCAGGTAGATTCGCCTCGCTGAACGTCACTGACACTTTACAATTGCCAAACATTTTGATTGAGACCTGCTAATGCAGTGTTTCCTAACAGCGAATTGCCGGAGCCGAAGGCTGCCTACGCCCTGATGCATCTACGCCCAGACGCATCTCCCATCATTACAAATTCCAAGTGATAGCCATGGTCTCAGCCGCTTGAGATCACCCTCATTGTTCCATAAACACGCTTTTTTCCACAAGGCGGAGGACCCGATCCCAAAGAAGTCGATTTTGACGCCTAGTTCACTCCTTAACGGCGATTGCCTGGAGACCTTTGCCGCGGATGGACAGGACCGAGGACAAGACCCAGAAACAAACAAACAACCTGTTGTAGCGTCAGCATCAAGAATAGCACCAGTCAGCGAAAAGGAGAGGATGATGGAGCCATACATGACCAGTGCAAGTTTAAGTGCTTTGTTTCCCTTGAATTTGGGAATGGTAGGCCTGACTTGCATCGAAGCCACCACGGCGCCCATGTAACGGGACACGGACGGCAACTGCGAAGAGTGGTCTCGGAGGAACCCATAGCTGTCATTCTCTTGGAAAAAGTAACGACGAGGCTGCTTAACCATGAGCAGCGTGTTGAGGCGCGCCATGCTCAGCTCGCCATACGTGAATCGCTCGTCGATTTGGCCATAGAGTCTGCCGTTGTTGAGTGTCCGTTCGACAAACGCCTTCCAGCCGGCAAAGTCCATGTCATCCGGCAACAGGTTTTTTGCCTTTGCAATGCGGAAGTCGCTCTCGTGCGTAATGAGAACTATATACGAGTACAAGAAGCCCATGGCGCACTTCCAGAGCTTGCTGTGCTCGCAAGGCGTGCGTGTCGAGAGTTTTGTCTGGCGTCGGACAAGCCCTGCCGCTCGAACCATCTTAAACTCGGGACTATAGGAGCATCCCTCAGGGCACTCGAGATGTTCCGACCAGAACTGAGGGTCAATAAGATACTTCGGGAGTGGCTTGATGAAGATCTTGCCTTTGGCCCAGAGAAGGTGTGTGTCCATCCTCTCGGTCACCAAGATCTCGAGGCCAAGAGCCTCCTGATGGTGGAGAGCTTGCGGAGGCTTGGCCTTGCCAAGGATGGAGAAGTAGGGCGACACTTCAGCCAATCGCTCGATATTGAGATCATCTTTCAAGAAGTGTTGAACGCGGCCGTGTGGTATACCGATCCAGGCCGCTCCGTTGCGGAAAGAAACAGCCAGCATGCTTCGGAGCTCGCTTTCGGTGAGAGGAGACACATTTGGCACGGCTGGCACATCTGGCACGGCTGGCGCACTTGGCACATCGGGCACATTTGGCAGAGGAAAAGCCGAAATCTAGTCATTGTCATCAGCGACTTACCATTAAAGAGTGTATGTGAAGGGTAAGATTATTGGTGAGAAGACTTACTGCTTCCCCGGTGGGAGTTGGAGATTCCATCGTGCTTGAAAGTTACTGATGCAAGTTATCAAAAGGTTAATGGACGACAAAAGTGATTGAAATAAACCGACCAACTTCAGGCGCTCCAGACGCAGATTTATAGCCACAAACTACCTAGTACCTGGGTGGCATCGGCCTAGTAAAGGAGAGACAGAGGCAGACGGCCCAGACGGTGGACAGGGCACAAGCACGGCAAGTAAGAGACTGCCAGCATATGAGACCAGGCAGTCAGCATCGCGAGACGCGTCCTCAGTCCTATTGGAGCTTTGCCTTGCTGCTTTTTCACGCTATCCGGTGGCTTGCTTTAGGAGATGAGAACTTCATACATCATTGTCTCTCAATAATTACACCACGTGCTACACCCAGGAGCGGCACAGACGACGATCAGCACCGGGAACCCGGTATCCAAAGCTGTGCTCACATTCACCAAAGGGATAGCGGGCTGATGGCGAAGCTCAAGCCCCCAGCAGCAGCATCTCGACCGGCTCTCGCTACCTTTGACCAAGTGGCCTAGTCTTGATGCCTCTGTCTCGAAGCGATCCGTGTCCGTTGGCGTTGTCGGCTGTGTGGCGGACGTGTTTAGCTGAGTTCTAGGCCCATCCTTGCCGCCTGACGGTGCTAATACAGGTGGTAGGAGTAAGTAGTAATATGCTACAGCAAACAGACCAGCCAAACTGAAACTTGCCAACCAAGGCGAGGGCGATTGAAGCCCGACGTCAAGTGGCCAAGCCCGACAGCCCTGTCCCATCATTCCGTGCCCCGGATAACCTCTATTCCCCTGTCCGGCAGGGGTTGAAAAGCCACTTTATGAGTGCTCGTACAGGTACCTACGATACTCGTACGAGGAGTGCTCAGGCACTTGTCCGCCAAGAATCCTTGCATTCACACCCTCTCAGCCTCCGGAACTTTAGATCCATCCCGCGCAGAACATAACCCACAGGGCCACAGCCCATCACAGACAAGCAGCCTGCATATGCCGGGCCGCCCTCCTAATTGTCTCGAAATTACCAACTTTCTGGCGGTGTGATGGATGGAGAAGGTCTTCCGTCCCGTCCTACCCAAGACACCAGCTCATGTGCCGTGCGCCGCACCGCAAAAAAAGAAAGTCGCGGACGAGGAAAATATGTTGGGGGCAGCACCTTGCGGCAAGTGGGTGTGAATGTAGAGAGGGCCAGATTCACCCGAAGGAGATCGGATGCGAGGAGGTCCTGGCGATGAGAGCCAGAATGCCCGATCCTCACGACTGTCGGCCGCACCTACGAGACACCAAGAGCGGGTTGTGCGAGGGCGGCTGGCGGAAAGCCTGGTTCGTGTCTCATTATCATTATCTAGGTCATTATCATATCATTCGCTTTGAGCGAGCTGTTCATCCAAGTGTCCTGTCCTCGGGCCCCGATGCATCTTTGTCCTCGTCCCCCTTTCCCTATGCGGTTTATCGATGTAACCCCAATCTCCCGATTCATCGCTGCTTCATGTCAATTTTGCAATCTGCTGATTTCATGGTTCCGTTTCACTCGGCCGATTTTCATAGATGACCGAGTCGGGCCACTCAGTCTCGACCTCTTCGGCCTCCTCCATCTCTTCCGCTTCGTCCACTTCCTCGACCTCCTCCACTTCAACCACTTCAACCACTTCAACCACTGCGGCAGTCTTGGCTACCTCAGCAATCTCCATCACCTCAATCTTCTCCACCTTCTCGGCGCTCTTGACCCGCCCCTCGTTGGCCTTTTCGATGGCTGCCCGAGCACCGGCCCATGCCTTTCTCCCTCTGCCCATGTCGAAGAGCCTGTACACGGCTGAGACATTTGGGCCGTCCATGATGAACTTGTAGAGCATCCTGTTCTTCCACCAGAATTTCCATGCTTCCCAGCCCCAACCCTCGAGCCGTTCAATGACACCGGTTCCGGCCGCAGCATTGAGCCACGTATACGTGCCTCGAATATCTACACGGAGGCCAAGGTATGCCATCGGGCCACGCTCGAGGGCTCGCACCACGAAACTATAATGAGAATCAATCTCTCTCTGCATTGCCCGTGGCGAAGGGAGAGGATAGCTGCCCGACCACATGCTGGCGAGTGCCATGGTGGCGAGGTCGTAGAGAACAAACGTAGGCCGCAGCGTCGTCAGGTTGCCCAGCACTGCCAGCGACTCGGGATATCGTTCTGATAAGATGCCGTGGTAAAGCCTTTGATATTCACAGTCCTGGTTGTGGTGCTTTGCACCATTGAGCCCCTTGAATGAGTCCATTGAGAACTCAGCATCGGCAGGATGGGCCTCGTCTTTGATGAGGGACAGGTCGTGGTAGTAGCCACAGCAAAAGATGATGGCATCAACGTCTGTAATCTCGCTGCCGTCCTTGAACACCACGGTTCGGGGACCAGCAACGCCCATGATGCCGGGGTAAATCTTGACGTCGCCGCTGTCGAATAGACCAGGCAGCTCATCGCACACAAATGGACTGCGATAGAGCGGGCCGCTGACGGGGCCGCTGAAGCAGGGGTGAGCCCTCAAGGTTGGAAAGGCATAGCTCTGGGCGAGACCAATGGCTTTGCCGGCAAAGTAATTCGTAGCGTGGGGAGACAGTCGCATACAGAACCGGATCATCGAGTCTCTACGACGGGTCATGTAATGGTCCCACGGCCGTCCTCCAATCGTTCTGGGGATCTATACAGCCAGCACCCTGTCAGTAACTATTGCTTCAATCATGGTCCTGGAGAACGTCGTTGATCATTTACCAGAGAACACCGGCTCCTGCTGCTGAGATACAGCTTGTTTGCGCCGGCCTGCTTCAAGAAGCTCAGGGTGTCGGCTCCGGTCGAGCCCAGGCCGACGACCAAGACATTCTTTCCGGTGTATCGTGTCGGGTCCTTGAATTCGCGGGAGTGGATGGCGTCTCCGGCGAACTTTTCGATGCCCTTGATCTCGGGCATATTCATGACGCTCAAGCCGCCCGTCGCCATGACGACCCGATCATACTCTCGCTCTTCTTCCTCGCCGGTTTTTGTGTGCTTGGTGGATACGATCCACACGCCATCTTCTTCGTCTCGTCGGATGCTCGTCACGGCCGTTGAAAGCTCGACGTGCTTGATCAGCTCGAATTTGTCTGCATATGCCTCGAGGTAGTCGGCGATCTGCTGTGCGGAGGGGAACGACGGATAGTCTGTTGCATAACCTCGTCAGCAATAGGTTCCGAGTGCTTTCGACATGCTCGTATCTTACCGTCGGGCATCGGGAAATCTGTAAAAGCATTCTGCAGGAATGATAAATGTCTTTGCATGAGCCTCACGTGCCAACATCAAACTTGGTTTTCCAGAGTCACGGCCACTCACTGTTTCTTTCGACATGTTGACCCTCGTACCCGGAAGTGCTGACACTTGCTGCGCATCCGTGGAATGGTGCCAATTGCCTCCGAGATATTCATTCTGCTCCAGGGCTCTCACGTTGAGGCCCTGCTCGACCAGATTTTTCACCGCCAGCAGGCCCGTGACGCCTGTGCCCACGACGCACACATTGTTCCCCAAGCCGCCTTTACCCGTGCCGTATGTGTCCATTCTGTCGCCAGTCTTGGTGAGAAGTTTTCCCCCTCTAAGCTGTAGAGGCTCCCGTTATGGACAAGGCTGAGGGACGAGGAGAGAGAAAAAGATGTCGAGGTTGGTGGGTGCGCAAAATGGAGCTCATGGCCGTTGGGCATCTAGCTCAGGGGTGTTTCCCTATTGCCCGTCCCGTCTGTCAGCTAGTGCCATCTGAGAAAGAAAGATTTCGCTCCCAATGGCACAGCTAGCGATGTGGTCAATGGTTGGAGAGGTGGATCCGCCTGGGCGCCGTTGAAGATGCTCCCGGACGCTAGAACGATAAGAGCAGGTTGGACGACGATGCTTACTGGAATTCATGCGAATCTGCTGATGATTTCTGAGAAGTCGATTGTTCGGAGCAAAGAGTTTATCAACATTGCTTCGGTTGAAACTGCGATTCAGCTCTTTATTAGACTAATTGTCAGCGGAACAAGAAGTGCATGCAATAGTTATGTGTACTTGGGGGAAAAGGTGATGACAATATTTCCTCTGCCTCGACATGTGGCTCAATGTGACGATTTCTTCTTCAAACATCCCATTTCTCTTGGGCGGGCTGCGTTTGTTCATATCTGTCGGCTTTCGTTTCGAATTGATTTACATACTCGTACGCTCACCCCCAAATTACGGCCGTAGCAGGATGTGGGAGTGGGACTAGAACGAGTTCAACTTGAAACCCGAATTCTTCCTCACAGCGCTCCGCGGTCGCCTCAATACGCACATTCTACCAATATAACACTCCAAGGAACTGTGCAACAATGTCAGAAGTCGCATCAAACATACTACGACGAAAGACAAGTCTATTTCAAGCTGGAAACGCCGAATCAATGCAGCCCACGATTGGGCTATTGGCATGCGAGCTTTTTTCAGTGCAGAGAATATCAAAAGAAAAAGAGAAAAAAAAAGGGACCAGGCCTGGATACGAAAGCCGACTACATCTTGCCTATATTAAGCAAGCTTCTCCGGAGCGACAAGCCCTATTCCTCGTTCAAGGTCTTCAAGAGACACTCAATGAAAAGTATCAGTCAACCATAGAGAAACGTTCTTGAAAAGTATGTCCCATTTGCGTTTCTCGTGCCGTGTGGAGTCACCGTCGGTGCTTTTCCAGCAATCTCGTATTCTCTGGAAGCTTGATTGATGAGCTCCAAACGAAACGAGCAATACCAGCTAGCTGCTGCTACAGTTTCCGCTGTGGGTGTGGATCCAGCTGACGCCGTCGAGATGCTTCGGACGCTAAACAGATGGAATTGACGGATCCATGGCCGAATATGTGGATCTGCGGAGCCTATGGTCACGGCCCGACCCGGACAATGGAATGTTCAAAGGGTCAGCTCGCTGTCTTGGATTGGGAAGAATCTTTTGCTGAGGCTTTCTGGACAGTCCATAAGGGCAGGGGGCTTCTTATCTTCAAGATCTGGCCGTTGATCCGGCTTGACACCACCTCACAGCCAGTATAACTTACTCGTGAACGAAGTGTAGGTAGAAGCAGCTGTCAGTCAGGCAACGAGCTGTTGTCCATCAAGGATTCACTTTCCATGAAGCCAAAAAAAAAAAGATATCGCTTGGATTTTATGACCGTAGGAGAGATGGACAAAATCCGGACGCCTTGACCTGGTCGTCATTGAAGCAGTTGGAAATCGAGACCTATCATCAAACCACCACCACCGTAGCTCTGTGGGAATCGGTTGTGTTTGCAAAGCTGCGGGGTGCCAAGATGGGGAAACTGTATATCCATTGCCACAAGTTGTAGAGTTGATCCTCTTGAATGATCTGCCGGCACTTTGTTCAGACAGTTGTAAGCAGAGCAAAATTGCTGGCATGATGGAGCATACCTGTAACCAAGACCAGCAGATTTACCAAACAAAACATTAATCCAATTGATGGGCGACGAGGTAGACATTGGAGGTTCAGAAACGTAGAGAACTCGTATTGGACGTCTAATGACGACCCGCAGCAATAGTCCTTCTGGATGTTGGTAAACTCCGAGATCAGCATCACCACAAGGATGGTTACCCAACACTTGAACCAAACATTTCGTATTGTGAACACCAAGACCGCCATTCGCCGAACTCAAGCATATTTTAATGGCGTTGAACGACTCAAAAGTCGAAAAGGGGCCAGTTGCACACAGCTATAAACACGATGCAGGAGAGTAGACGGCTATATTAAAATCCCAACGAAATTTCCACCATTGACACATAATTCATTGAATGATGATTTTTCCATCTTCAAAATAAGGTACTAGATTGCTAAGAAAAGTGTTGGCCATGTACCTGCAGAATGGTACTGGGGAGGTGTTGCTCCTTCCTCTGTCACGCTTCGTTGGGTGGGCAAGAGCTTCTGGCACACCGCCCAACAGCAGGGAATTTCTCCTCTTCTGCTTTTCCTTTTCCTTTCCGATATCATCATCGCATCCCTTGGCCGAGCAAATCTCTCCATCGCATCCATTTCCGCAAAGTCGAATTCATTCCTGAGGCTGGTTGTTGCGCAAGCAAAAGGCGACTTCCGGGATTCGTCCGAAGCATGGACCATGATGCATCGCACAGTCATTCTTTTCTCCGCATAATCCGACTCACCATCATGACTGACGATTTCTTCTGAATTCATCTCACTCTTGACAGCCATCGGCTATTTGATTCTTCAAAGACCTGCGGAGGTGTCTGCGACGCCCTGATAGGGCTCGTCAACGAGGGTCATTCGCCGAATCGTCCACTTGACCGTACTCGTGAAATCAACGGTGACGGAAGTCCTACCATACCGCCGCAGAGGAAGCGACAAAGCAAGGCTGGCCACTGTCATGGCTTTTCAGATACTCGCGGTGACAAACTGGGACTCTCAGTGGTGAGCTTTCCCAGCGTCGTACCAGGTCAGATTAGTAGGCTATTGGGTATTGTTTAGGACAAGAAGGTATTGCAACTCTTTCGAGAGACAGTAGCTTTTTTCACTGAATTCTGCTAATAATTTTTTCACCAAATGTTAGACCAGCGAGCAGAGATGACTGAGAACAAGCGAACAAGTTCTCCACCGCAATTTCAACGCAACCGCTGTCCAATGTTGAGGTGCGCTTCGGAGGGTTCTTGAGATTATGGCCCTGTAACTTGGCTTCTTCAGCTTTCATTACCGCCTTTCAGAGATTTTGCTACTTGGGCAAATACAAAGCAACCCATGCTTTGTTTCTCGTCTCCTTAGGCGCTCGCACTTGGTCCAGCTCTTGCAGCGCGTTGGATGTCTGCAGCTTTACCTCCAAGATATTTCATGAGCCCTTTACGAAGATTGGCAAGTGAGTCACATCTTTGTCTACTTTGATCCTGCCACTCAAACAATTTAATGCGTGGATGAAAGACGATCTGACCATGATAGGATCAGGCTAATGCCTTAACAGGGTGGGTGATCAAAGACACGCAATTCCACCACGAGGAATATGCTAATTAATGCTGGGCTCTTTATCGCTCCCCTACCTTTTTTTTTTTCAAACCTCTTTGAGATAGTAGTCACGGTTCCTGGAAATAGATTGGGAAGACTTCTTCCAAAGGGCGCTGGCACCATCGTTAACACTCTTGTTATCAATCATTCAGGGATTGACGTTAATTTGCCGTGCTAGGACGAATCACAAACAAAGACGCGGAGAGTAGCATCGCTTGTGCCGACAGTCTACCGAGTGAGTCGACTCCAATTACACAAGCAAGGTGCATCAACGCACGTTACGCCGGCCGCAAAGAACAATATTAACCTCTCTGCAACGGCGGCATCGAATTCAGCCAAGTTCGTTTGCAACATTCTCTTGCCTAAATTGATACCAATCACCTAGAGATACTTGGTCACGATCAACAGTATGCGATTGAAAAGCAAACCACAGGCGTGATGCGGGCGGGTGAGCCTATTCTACGGCCCTACGGATTATACACTGTGAGTGTCTTTAAGACAGACGGAAGAAAGATACGTAATCATTTTTACTGATACTGCGCTTAGCGATCAACCTTCGCCCAGATCAGTCCAAATCAAAAGGTCGCTACTAATCTTTTACTGGGCCATTCAACAATTGAGCGTGCTCAACACGGAGTCGTTATTCAGCACCCCAGCGACTACGTGAAGTTGGAGCATTGGAACCCGAAAGCTGTTTATTGAGTACTATAGATGTTCACCAAACATCCACTTGAGTCCTCCTAGCACTTGCTACCAGGACTACTTCTCTGGTGCTACAGCTATATTCCTCTACTATTTACTGCCGGGCGCAACGCTACCAAATGACTCACCATATCGCTCCATCGCGCCACATCGCATAATTTTTACAGTGGCTTTCACCCGCTCGCTCACCCTGACCTGCAACACCAGCCGCAGCAATGGACGAGGCTATCAAGCAGCTCTTAGAATGGTCTACTTCAATAGGAGTCGAGTTGAATGGTATTCATCCAAAAGCTCTTCACGGACGAGGTATCGGCATTGTGGCTACCCGGCACCTTGAGGTAACTTTGATTTTTTCTTCTCGCTGAATCCCCACTACCAAAATTTGACTGAGTCTCGTCGATGCTCTTATATCACCGCCCAATCCCGTTCATTCAGCTATCAGTGCTGATTAGAATATCTAGGCCGATCAAGTCATTCTTAAAGTGCCCATATCTGCTTTGCGCACTCTCAGCAACACTCCGAAAAACATCATCAAGAAGCTTAGCGGTGCTTCTGTTCACAATATCCTTGCAGTTTCTCTTTGTCTGAGTGACGGCACTGGGATTGACAAATGGACTCCTGTCTTTCCTTCTCGGCGGGACATCGCCTCGAGTTTGCCCATTTGTTGGCCTGCGAAGCTACGCTCTTTGCTGCCGTCAGGAGCCAAGGCTTTACTCACAGCTCAACAGGATAAGTTCAACAAGGACTGGGCACTCGTGACGGCCGCATACCCAAAGATTCACAAGGATGACTATTTGTACAGTTGGCTCCTTATCAACACTCGAACTTTCTACCACACAGATCGCAGCACGGATAAGCTGCCCAGGGAAGATCGAATGGCACTCCAGCCTGTGGCGGATCTTTTCAACCACACGCCCGAGGGCTACTGCGTCGCCGCTTTTGACGACAAGTTCTTTACATTTACCACTACGCGTACTCACCAGCCCGGTGAAGAAGTATTCATCCGCTACGGACCTCATGCAAACGACAAGCTGCTTGTGGAGTATGGCTTCACACTGCCGTCGTCCGTGAACCCTTGGGATGAAGCATGCCTCGACTCGTACATCTGCCCTTCCATGTCCGGCGATCAGAGACACCGGCTGGAAGCCGTCGGCTTCTGGGGGAACTACATGCTTGATGCCCAAACAGCATGTTACCGCACGTATGTTGCCTTGCGGATGCTCTGCCTTCCGCTTAACCGGTGGCAAGATATCCTGGACGGGACGAGGGACGAGGACGAGGACAGCTCGGTCATTAATGCGGCACTGCTAAAGATATTGACCAAGTACGACGCCGACGTCACCAGCGCTCTGGGGCATCTGGAGCAGCTGGAGGCCAGTTCCGTTGGCGACGAGGAAATGAGAGGCATCCTGACAGACAGATGGCTCCAGATTAAGCATCTGGTGACGGCAGGAAGATCACGGATTGAAAGCTAACATCGGAGGGACTGGAGGACAATGATTGTCTCCGCCTCTCATTGAATCAGTCAATCCCTTTCAATCGCCTATACGCACGCACTGCACAGGGCTATGATGCCTATTCGGGTTTTTTTTTCGTCAAATTGCTTTGCTCTCTGAATCATACCTTGCTCCATCCTGTTTTGTAAACCTTTTCCCCTGTTCCTGACATGCAATAGACAAAGGAGAGAATAAAAGCAAAGAGCCTAAAAGACAAGAGAAGAGAAAAAATTACAAAGTTTCCACAAAATGCTCTCTGACTCCTGACATCTTAAGAACCCGGCGTTTGTTCTATTATACACTGTCGAAAAAAAAAAGATTCCCTTCCTGATGCAAACTGACAAGTGATTTTCCCAACGTCCGTCAAAAGCAATGGGGCGAGTGGCCCGTTCCTGTTCCCCCTATACAAGCAAATCAACCAATCAATCCATTGTGCTCTCGCGAGAAGCAATCGAACCATGGCCCAGGTCTTCTTCCTGTGATGGATGCAAAATGGGCCTTGTTGAACGTCCATTACTCGGGACGAGGTCGCTTTGCACCGTGAGGGTTGCCCCAGTTGCCATCATTACCACCACCTCCGCCGCCGCCGCCGCCGCCGCCTTGTTGTCCAAAGCCAAATCCGCCTGGGAAGTTGGGAGGCATGCCCTGGAAGCCTGTTGTTGCACAAGTTAGCAGTGGACTATGGAGGTTGTGGAGGAGGGAATGTGTTTGAGGACGGACTGGGCCGGTGAAGTGGCATTGGAAAGATGGGAATTGGCGGTGGTGGAACGCGACCATGGTAACGGTAGCCGCTGACAAAGAAGAGGTAGTGACGCCAGTATTCAATATCGCAAGCCATGCAGCGCAGCCCCCGAGTGCCATGGATGGCGCAGCCCCAAAGGAGGCGAGGATCTTGACCTCCAGCGGCAGCGGCAGCGGCTCGGTAATATTGCTGATACTGCTGTTGAAGCTGGGATGCCGAAGATGAAGCCGCGGCTGCACTGGCGGCTGAACTGGCATCTGCCACTTGGCCTGAGCTCACTTGAGGGTTCTGCTCTTGAGGCACTTGCGGCTCTTGATGCACTTGCTGAGGTTGTTCTTTCGTCTCGGCACCCTCTTTCACTTCTTTGCCCTTGTCATCATAGCTCTCCTCAAGAATGCTGCTTCCTTCAGCATCGACATCCTCTTCTTGGACACTTTCTTTGAGCTTCACTAGATATTGGGCTACTTCATGTGCCTCCTGGAGTTGCTGCTCTTGGAGTTGTTGCTCTTGAAGTTGTTGTTCTTGAAGCTGTGACTCTTGAGGCTGTGGCTCTTGAAGCTGTGGCTCTTGGGTTGGCTGCTCTTCTGGCCCTTCTGGCCCTTCTGGCTCTTCTGGCTCTTGATTGGCCATGTCCACGTCTGGGAGAGCTGATGATGATGGTGTAGTGGATAATGATGATGACGAAGCTTCCTAGGCCGTCGCTGAAACCATTTGAAGGGGAGGGGTCTGTGGGTTAGGTGTAGGTGAAGTGTCTGCATCTTGCGTACCTGGCATTCCGTTACCCATCATTCCCATGCCCATATTGCCAGGCATGCCCATGCCCATGCCTCCCATGTTCATGCCCATCATACCGCCGCCGCCTCCTCCTCTGCCCCGGATCATGTTCTGGCCGCCCCTCATGTTGCCTCCAGGGTTACTTCGGCCGCCAAAAACGTAGTGGCTGCCGCCTCCACCAGGACCGCCGCCCATTGGGCCGTTGTAGCCGCCGCCGCCGCCTCCTCCTCCCATGTTGTTGTTGTTGTTATTATAGCCCATGTTTCCGCCGTAGTTTCGGTTGAAGTTGGGGTTCATGCCGCCGCGGCTTCCACCCATGCCTCCTCGGCCGCGGAAGCCTCCGTAGTTGCCTCGCTCGTTGTAGGATCCAGAGGGAGCGGCTCGCGGCTGCTCCTTAACGCGGGCCGGTGCGTCCTTGGGCAAGGTCCGGAAGGGGTTGACGCCCGGGTTCCAGTAGGAGATTGTCATCCTCTTCTGGCCAGGTTGTACACTGTCCATCGCAACGGTATCGATATGACGCTTGGCGGCGGTGGAAGCTTGGCGGGTGTGGAACTCGATATAGGCTTGGCTGCAGGGAGACACGACGGAGTAATTAGTAACAGCAGCAACAACCAAACAAGAAAAGATTAGGATCCCGAGCAGCATATTGGCAAACCTACCCTTTACTCTTTCCATTGACCTTGTGCTCGCTAAAGGTGAGCTCCTTGATATCTCTCTCGCAGCCGGCCTTTCGAAGCCAACCTCGGATATCATCATCCGTCATCCACCAACTGAGCTCTGAAATCATAATGGCTGCCGTAGCGCCGCTATCGACAGGCCGGTCGTTGTGGTCTTGCTCCTCCGATTTTCTCTTTACACCGTGGTGATGTGGAGCCTCTTCGGCATCGTCACTACGGCCGCTGTCGTAGCGGCGGTCGTCTTCATGCTCGTCGTCTCTTCTGTGGTCTCGACTGTGATAGTCGTAGTCATCTCGCGAATGGCCGCCACTATGGCGGCGTTCATCCTGACGAGGCTGGTCGTTGGCGTCGCCATCGGTGTCGCCGTAGAAGTCAATGTCAAAATCGGGGTCACCCATCTCGGCGGTTTCGTACGTTGGTAGGAGTTCGTCGACACGGACGGTCACATGCAATTTCTCGTGGTTGTATTCGGATGCTGAGGACACTAATGAAACGATGATTTGTTATTAGGATATTCAAGCGAGATACAGGCGATGCCTCCTGGCATGTAGAGTGAAAGAAGATGGCCATTATTCACTAATGGCCGGCTGCAGCGCTGCTCTCGGCACGTTGGAAACGTCTAGCGTACGTGTGATGCTCCCCCCTTCTCTCTTTGCCTTTTGTTTGCCCACAAACAGGGAGAGTTATAAACAAGATCAAGGTGACGACAATGGCAATAAGGACATAGGTAGATGAGGTTGTACAAAAAAAAAAAGACACAAGGTTTGACAAGCAAAAATTCGAAAGGGCTAGGCTTGCTGGTACGTACAGTCCCCGAGAAAAAGGTAGCCGAAAAGCTACCTAGTAGCTCGATCTCTCTCCAAGTCCGATGCTCGTTGTCTCGCTTCCTTTGGAATTGTGCTGCAGGATAAGGTGCTCCAGCCGGACGCTCCCTTGACGGTACCCTGTGTCTCGGCCGATGTGGGTGGTAGCGGCCCAACACCAATTGCGGCTCGTGGAGATGGGATAAACGCACAAAGGCGCCGGAGGTTGTTGATTGGGATCTTGGCCAACGAAGCTGACGGTCAAAAGCTGGGCGTGACGAAGAAAGTAAGAATAGGGAGAAGGAGGGGCCAAGCTATGCTATCAAGGCTAGCTTGGCTGGCACGAGCCTAGGCGGTTGTTTGCGGTTCGAGGCTCAAGCAGCAGCGGCAGCAGCAGCAGCAGCAGCAAGTTTGTCTGCTCCTCGCCGTCAGCAAAGAGATGATGGGGCAATTGCTTCGCGTTCCTTTGGGTGGGACCGAATCGAGGCCTGAAGGTGCTGCGGCCAGTCGGCAGCTTGCGAGTGGCTGCAAGGCAGTTTTTGTCCGAGGTCGGGAGGAGAGGGAGCGAACAGGGGAGGGGCCAAGCAAACAAGTGCTCGTAGCACTGAAATATAAGCGGTGGCAAGGGGAAATGAAAGGAAGGCAAAGAAAAAGAAAAAAAAAGAGAAAAAATAGGTGATATAGCTGAAGGGGCCAGGGGGGTGGGTTGGACGATGGATTAGGCGAGAGAAGCAGGAGAATGGAAGAAGCAGAAAAAAAGGAAGAAAAGTTACCGGAACGGCGCGAAGAGCACGGAGTAGCGGCGCGTCGCTGCGCTGAATCCGAGTTACCAGCAGCGGCAATCAATTGGGGGACCTCGCTCGGATACAAGGCTGCAAGTGGAACCGAGCCAACGAATGCCTGCTGGGTTTGGCCGAGTGGAGGATTCTTGGAGAGGAAGAGAGAGGGAAAAAAAAGATGGAGCCGTGGGTGAAGCTTCAAGCCAGCAGATTCCGGCCTGGACTGGGGGGGAGAAGAAAATACCTAGGCAAGGGGGCGAGGCTGAGGCGTATCGTCGATGCGCGAGGCATGCGCCACACCTGACGCCACACCAGGCGGGATTTCAGAAGGCTGTCGGCGGTGGAAAAGCGATTTCCCGGGTGGCTGGCCTATCACGGGCCGCTAATTGCAGAATCACGGGATGGGCCAGGGATGCATGTCCCCATATTAACGCTCAAGTGTCGATCAATCTGACAGCTGCCCGTCTGTCTTGCTAACGGCATTTAGGGCCCTTATTTTGCATATGGATGCGTTGGCACGATGGATGCAGCCATGGGTAGAGCTCTATGGACGGTACTTGAGGTGGCTGTTGATAGGTCTGGTACCTGTTGCTTATACGGGATTGGATACAGCGAATCAGTTGGTGGTTGGTTGGCTGTAAAATACCTAAGGTACCTAGGTAGGTAGTCTAGTACATCCCTATAAATCCACGCGCACGACAAAGGGCTGGTGGCGGGCAAATACTGAAATGATCAGCTGGAGTGGGCTGCAAGGAGTATCGGCATTCGAATGTGCCATGGTCCGTGTAACGTCAGTTTGCAGCAGCAGAATCTGCAACAGAAGCCGGCTAGGCTGTGAAGAGCTGCAGCATCGCAGCCACAATGTAGGTCTTGCAGCGGATAAATGCGGGAGAATTCATGCGAACAAGAAACTGGTGAAACTGTGCAAGAGGGAGAGAAGAGCGAACTCAACACCAACCAACCAAGACGTTTCTGTTGAAAGTGATTGCATGGAGATGGCATCGTCTAGTGTTGGCACACCAGGTCACAATGTCTTGAAAAGTATCCTCCTGCATCTCATTAGAGCAGTAGCAGTAGCAACATCAAGAATCCAAGACCTTGTATGTATTCATTTTGCCCTTGTCTTCACATTTATACCAGTTTTTTCCAACGCCAGGTCATCTAAAACCGCGATTGATAAAACGTCTCTGGATCCGACCTCAGCGACTCATTGACACTGTCTCCCAGCCTAGGCTCTCCTTCATCTTCAGATGACCCGTTAAATGCGTGGACTGTGCAAGTACCTCGCGCCATGCTGTATCCATTCCATGCAGACGCTACGAGAATATTAGCATGAGCCTCTGACAGAGAAAGAAAAACGAGAGAAAAAAGAAGCAGGTACTCACCAACAATGATGGGCGCACTAGGATGCCAGCTAGCATCACGGACGCATGTGCCCCAGCCCCCGGGCTCGTCAAAGTAGACCCGAGTACGGCGATCGAGCCTCCTCGTCTGATCAGTCGCCCCCTGTACGTCGATTTCGCCTGCTTTAGTCGCATCCATGTTCCAGATGTGCACCTTGCCGTCCGCACTGCCAGAGTAGACGTAGCGCGAGTTGGTCGACGACGGCGGCGAGAAGTGGCATCGAATAAGCGTACGCAGAACCTTGTGGCCCCGGAAAGTGACGAGAGAGTTGTCGTGGGGGTGCAAGTCCCAGTCGTCGTCGTCATATTCGTCTTGCCTATAATCGAACCTGTCCAGGCGGGTGTCGTTGTCCTTGGTGACTTCGCGGAACCGATCCGTCGACATGGCCATGCGCAGATCCCACAGCTTCATGCTCTGTTCCTTGCCGTTGCTGAGAATATATCGCCCGTCGCCCTTGCTGTCGATGTACGTCAGGCCCTCGGTGTGGCCCACAAAGGCGCCGGCCTCCCGATTGTCTCCCATGCTTCGCCGATCCCACACTTTGATGGTTGTGTCGTCTGAGCCGGAGTAGATGATGTGGGGGGACGCCTTGTCTGCAAAACACACGGCGTTGACATCGTCTTGGTGACCGGTGATGTGATGAAGGACTCTCCTGGATTCGATATCGTAGACGACTAGCGAGTGAGCGCTGGTACCAGCAACGAGCTCTCGTCCATCGCCTGAAAACCTGACGGACCAGATTCCAAAGGAGCCACGGTTACGCCAAAATGAGAGTCTTGTATGGCCCTCCCCGTCATCAAGCTCGAGAGAGTAAGGCTCTCCCTTGTCTCTGGGGTCGGTGGGGGCTATTGAGACGATGCTTTGGATAGATGTATACGCCAGCCAGCGGTTGTCCGGACTCAGGGAGGCGTCCGTAAGTGTCCATTGACCAAAGGGGTAGCTTACTGTTTTGTAAAGCTTCCAGTTGTAGGGATTGGACGTGTCGTACATGCGCACATTAAAGTCCTGACAGCATGAGAAGAAGAAGTTGCCGTCATCGGAGAACTGGCCAGAGTAGATGGGGTGATCATAGTGGATGATTTTCTCCGCCTTGCTCCCGGGGATGAAGCTCTGAAGTTTTAGGCTATTGTTAGCATGAATCAGACATGTATGAGCACCATGAATAGTTCGGCCGTCACCACGGATGTCATCAAATATGGGCATGCTTTCAAATCAATGAAAAAGAGGAAAGGGTGTACGAACTTGAGCTAAAGCACCGTTGGTTCGCTTTCTCGTCATCCGGTCTCCCAAACCAATCTCTCGATCCAACAGGCGTCTTGCGATTCGTTTTTTAGTCCGCAGGTCAGTATCGCTCAAGCCAAAGACTCCAGACTCCATGAGCTTTCTGCCCTCTGCGCTGGGGACCTTGGGAAACCTGTTGGGATCTTTCGGTGTGACGGGTATCCCACGGCCTAGGCCGGTGCCGCGGAATAATGTCATGAGCTGCTGTCTGGTCAAGAGCCCCGATCTTTGGCCAGCTGGAAGCCATGACAATCAATGTTAGTATAGGTCGGTAGATCAAGTAGTGTTTAGAAGAAAGAGAGAAGTCATAAGCAAAAAAACAACATCAGTCATAAGGGAGAATCTCACCTCTTAATAGTGAAATCAGCCTCAGGGCGGCTTCGTCTCGTCCCGCCTCTTCATCATCGATGACAATCTGGAATCGGAAATCGCCAAAGGCGTACTCCACCCGGTCGTCACCGTCTGCTTCTTCGTCCTCGTCATGTTCTGGAGATGGCAACTCAGTTCAGCCAGGCAGCTCTTGTAGAACAACGGAGAGGGAATGAGAGCAAATTACCGTGAAGATCCTCGTCATCCTCATCTGGCTCGTCACGATAGTCGGGATCATCCTCATCCTCATCCTCATCGTCGTCTTCGTCTCCGTCTCCATCCTCGTTCTCACCACCCTCATTGGCATCCTCATACACGTCGCCACGGCCTTCATCATCATCGTCATCATGGCTCTCGTCGGCGGTGTGCCAGCTGCCATATCCAGTTACTTCGGCATCTCTGGGGTCCCACTCAAAGGGGCCATCTCCATCACCATCACCATCGCGGTCCGCCGGTGTCCATTCCATTGCTGGGCGTCACCAACCGTCTAGATTATCACTACAGTCCAATCGTTAGTCCCAGCAGATGTATAGGTGAGCCGGGAGTCGCGGAGGCGGGTGCTTCAGAATGCGATGCAATCGAAGCCGCTTGCGAGCAATAGCAAATGCCGAAGCTGGTCAAGATGGCCGACGTCTACGGAGAGGAAAATGTTACGGATCAAAGGGCATTTGTCAGGCAAAAGAGGATCAAATGCCCTCGGAGTTTAGGTAGCACGGTGATTACGGCAGCAGCAGCAGCAGCAGCAGTTGTATAGGGCGATAATGGAGATGGATCCATCAGGTTGAGTAAAGCCGTGACGCCATCTGTCTGGTGCAGCGGGGAAGATAGCACAGTGGCGAGGGGGGGGTTACCTGATAAGATGCGGGCGAGAAGCCGCCTGTAGATGCGCTATCGGGAGTGTTGTTATAGTGGACGGACGCCTAATGTTGGGGCGTGTTATAGCGCTGGTCAATGATCCATTGATGCTCCGAGCTTCAATGTGCACGATCTTGGGCGTCGACGCCGAGGCCGCGGATCTCAACCGCGGCTGGATGCCACTTACAGCCAGTATAAATAAGTGCGGGTGGCTAAGACTTTAATCTTTAGTCTTGACATTGGCAGTTGTTTCTCGGGCATTAATTGAGGACAGGCAAAGAAGCCATACAAGCCTACCTATCAATGAATACTAATCACATCGTCGCTGTGTAGCAAAAGATCCATTGGCCGCCATCACCCACCACACGGCAAATGCAGCATCAAAATATTGAATATACCGTATACTCCCATGCACCATGACTCCAGTATCCCCTTTACTAGAACTATCCCCCCCCCCCCCCCCCCCAAAAATAGCAGGGACAGCATCACTACCACCAGCAAAGCTGCTCGTATTAACGCGCCAACAAGAGACACCGCCTACCTAGACTACTCCGTACATCATATAAACTGAACGTCAAGTCCATCAAATGTAGGGGTAAACTTGTCCGTAAAATACTCCGTCCAGGTCCAAGCAACTGAAATCGCAGCCCCACACTTCACCTTAGCAATGCCACCCCATCTGTAAGGAGTCAGGAGAGGCGAAAAGAACGCGCAGCCCTTTTTTGTTCCCGATTGGCGAATGCCCTGCCTCGAGCCTGATCCGGCCCAGCGATTTTGTTTCACAAGGGCGATCCAACCGGACATTCGATGCCAGGCTGTACTGCGTACCTATTCAGTAAAGGCTCAACTCAGTGGAGGTTGCCAGGCTTGAATCTGCGTGTAAATTCCCGTCGCTTTCAGGGGGAAAAAGAAACAAAGTTTCCGAGTAGCGCTTCTCAATTGCCACCCCGTAGTAGTCCGCAGTAGGCTTAAGGCCACTAACTGCAAGCATGCAGAGGTACCTGCTCCGTCCGCGCGGATCCTGTCACAAACCTAAACGACCACCTGTACCTTTTTGCCCTGCCTGATAGTCTCCCAAACCAACATTGGCATTTGGATCTTCCACGCAATTGGAGGGGCGCAGAAAGAAAAGAACTTGAACGAGTCCCAACCCAACCTTGGACGACCTAGCTCTTCTCTCTGTCTTCCATTTACGGACGTTTCTGTCTCCTTTTTCTTCCCCAATTCACCACCTTGCCATTCTAACTTTCTCTCGCTCTCCCTCATTTTCCCTTTTTTTTTGTCTCCCTCTACCTCTTCTAAACTCTCCTTCTTTGCAATCGCCTATTTGGCCACTCCTTTGACCTGTGCATTCGATTCCTCCCCCTTTCCGCCTCTCATCTCGCCTCCATTGACGTCGTATTCCATCGAATTGCCCTGTTCCCACGCCTTGCACCCGGCAAGGCTCGTGTCGTGCCCACCGACCTGCGGATATCCTGATGCGCTGAGAACGGCATTCGCTCATTAGCCACCGACATCTACCGCCCACCATGCAATTCCGCGCGAAGCATTCTCCTATCCTCCTCCTGCTGCTGCCCTCCATCGCCAGCGCCCTTGCGACAAACCCCGCTGCCGGCAATGACAAAGACTCGATCCCTGCCGCCGATGTAGCGGATGTCGCGATCCTCAAGGGCCGCCTCGGCGTGCCCACCAAGGACGCGCCCGTCGACGGAAAGGACGGCAAGCCTCATCTCGGCCCGTTTGTCGAGACCGACGGCACCGTCTCGACCGACACAAAGGGCGAAAAGGACCTGCCCACCCTCAAGGGGCGGCCCAAGGACGTCACAGTCGTCGACGGCAAGAAGATTCCCGAGTCCAACGATGGCGTCATGTTCGACAAGAACCGCGAGAAGCCTCAGGATGGCACCACAGGTACCGAGGGGGGCGTTTCCGAAAAGGACAAGGCCCGCAAGGCCCACGAGGGCAAGACTGGCGAGAAGCTCGTCAACCAGCCTGAAGCTCCCAAGGAGCATCCTCCGATCCCCCACAGCGAAGAGAAGAAGATTGAAAAGGGCAAGGAGAAGACCAAGGGAGGAGAGGCCGACAAGGACAATACAAAGTCAAAGCCTGCGTCTGATAAAGATGGCGAAGATACGGGCTACACCGGGCTCGAGGTAAGACTGCAATTCAGCCTGCTTTCCCCTTTTCTTTCTCCTTCTCTCTCCGTTTCCCAAGCCCCCCCTCCTTTTTTTTGGAGTGTTGAGAGGTTGAATGAAAATTGTATGCATCAATGCACTAACACGCTCGACAATGGATAGAAACCCGATGATCTCCCCGATATGGATCGCAAGCAGGTGTCGCCGCCCGTCCCCGACTCCGCAAAGAAAGACCACCTCGACATTTCCAAGCCTCAGGCCGGAGGTTCATCGTCATCCTCAAACGCCGCCGAACAGGAAGAGGGCATCATCCAGCCTTTCCACTCCTTCATCCTGTCCTTTACCATGATCCTGGTCTCTGAAGTGGGTGACAAGACGTTCCTGGTTGCGGCTCTCATGGCGATGAAGCACGATCGCATGGTTGTCTTTTCTGCCGCCTTTGGTGCCCTTTTGGTCATGACGGTTCTGTCTGCGGTCCTAGGCCATGCCGTTCCGGCTCTGATTCCCAAGCGTCTCACCGGTCTTCTCGCCGCCGGTCTGTTCTTTGTCTTTGGAGCTAGGCTTTTGCGAGAGGGCATGCAGATGGACCCCAACGAAGGCGTCACTGCTGAGATGCACGAGGTCGAACAGGAACTTGCCGAGAAGGAAAAGGAGCTTGAGCGTAGGGGCGGCGGCTCCATCTCCGGCGATGCCTTGGAAATGGGCCTCGGTGGCGGCAGGACTTCGCGCAAGAACAGGTTCCCCTCCCCCAGGTCACCTTCAGAGTCACCCTCCCGGATCCCCTCCCGCAAATCAGGCAGCGGCAGCGGCTTCGTCAGCGGCATCAGCAATCTCTGCTCCCTCATCCTCAGCCCCGCGTGGGTTCAGACCTTTGTCATGACCTTTTTGGGCGAGTGGGGAGACCGGAGCCAGATTGCCACCATTGCAATGGCTGCTGGACAGGACTATTGGTGGGTTACTCTCGGTGCTCTGGCTGGGCACTGCATCTGCACGGGCGTTGCAGTCATTGGCGGCCGTGCCATTGCTGGACGTGTCAGTCTCAAAGTTGGTAAGTAGCAGAGCATACCTATACTCCTATACTCCCCCCCCCCCTCCTTATCCATTAGATGGGCACAAATTCTAACCAAATGTGTGTAGTCACCGTCGGTGGCGCCGTTGCCTTCTTGCTGTTTGGCATGATTTACCTCATCGAGGCTCTCTACGCATAAAATTCCCCGGTCTCACTTTATTGATATAATATTAGCTTGATTCTAATTCACCATCGACCCCGAAAGACCTCTCTGGCTCCCTCACCCCCTTTGCTTCTTCTCTTACTTCTCTTCTTCTCAACAGGATATCAGCAAGCGCGAAATCTGTTTAGAACTGTATGATGAATACCTTGTCAGTTGTTATAATTTCTTCTTCTCCTCTTGTCGTTTAATTACTGCGGGTATGCTGGCGTGTTTTCCGCTTGAGCTGGGAAGGGGTGGGGGGGAAAGGGGAGGAGAACAAAACATTTGGTACGGCACGGAGGATGGAATACAGGCCCCCCAATGGTAATAGATGGGACGGATGCTTTGGGGTTTCAGAAACGGACGACGACTCTCTGTATTGATTGGATGCTCTGGTGGAGTTTTGTCATGGCGCTGCATTTTGGGCTTAAGTCGGGTGGCTTTTACTAGTAAAGACGAAAAGAGAACGAACATGTTGGCTGGGCGAATACAAGGGGCGGAATATAAGGCAGCTGGCTGGTTTACCCAAGACCATGTGTGTGTGTGTGATGTGGACCAACGCTTCCGTCTTCGTTGCTTCTGTTCAAAGAGCCCGAGTTGGCTGCAGGATTGGGCAGTTGTAACCTGATTCTTTGCAAAGCTACAACTTGTCGTGATGATCCCCGACGGACTTGATCCGTCGTCTACCTAGTGCAGTTTCAAGCTACGGCGCTTCTCCGGACAAGCATAAGCATATTCCAGGCTTGAATATGTTTCCGAAAAAGGTGCCGGTAGATCGACTTTTTACATCTGCCATGCTCGGCACATGTATGCCCGACCCAGGGCTGGCTGTTGACAAAATACCCTCTTTTCCTTGTGAATTCACCATCGTATCTGTGCCTGTGTGTGGGTATTCTCGACGCCAGCCAGGGTCAACCTCGAACCGTAATTATTGTTGTTGGTCAGCCCTGTGAGCGAGGCTTGGTGTTACGCGAGGACGGAGGATTTGCAAAGCTGTAGCTGTTGTTGATTGCCATTGCGTCGTGTTGGTGGAGGGTAGAAGGGAGTTATTGGGGGCTGTGATGTCGAGATGGTGTCGTCTTTGTGCCCCTGATTTTGTCACCATCTACTTCTTTTTAATCTTGTCTCTATATTTTTTAATCTTGTCTCTTTTTTTAAATAATAATAATATTATTATTATTATAAATAATTCATTATTGTTATCGACTTTTTGATCATCTCATCACTTAAATTCCGCCATTGTTTCCTCGATTCCTTTTTTCTTCCTGAGGCATCTACATGGCAATGCCATGGCGCTTTGGGCAAGTATTCACAAGACACCTCGAAACCACATCAAAACCAGAATCACCAGCCAGGGTGTAGCCTAATGCTACCCTACCTTTCTGTCTTCACACCCCCCGCATCCTCCTTTTCCTCCATTTTCTCCCCGGTAGGAACGACGTCTTCGATCGAACTTCGCCTATCGAGCACGTTGACTGGCTGCAATGTCGTCTTAAACTTTTGGGGGGGTTGTTAGGAGAGACGAACAGGCCACGCACAAAGATTCTTGATTTCCCTCGGCCACGCTGAATGCTTGCAAGAGTCATATAGACAGTCCTTGGAGGTGTCAATTCCCGCACCCATGTGAAAGCGAGCCAAGATGCGGCGAATCACATAAATCATACCCAAACTGACTGTGACAGCTGACAGGTGCGCGCTGCGGAAACTGCTTCATGCGACGATGCGATGGTGGCCTACAACGAGGCAGTGCCAGCATGGATCTATCATCCGCATCCTCACAATCTAGATTCAGATGCATTCAAGAGGAGCAGTTGAACCGGCTGTCGCTGCGAGCTAAACCGTCTGTCGCTTACAAGATGCTCAACGGGCAAGGTTCGCCGTCTCGAAAGAAGCGCCACGCATCTGGGATCCTCTCGGTTAGTTCCCGAGGCCATCAACTACTCGATGTCTCCCTTGTCGATCATCCAAAAGAGGGTGTGGGCGCTTGCCCATCCGCCGACCTGTACCTTGCAGCCTGGACCCCCCCCTTTATCTGTGACATTCTCGCCAACAGAATTCGGCATACTCGCCATCACGAGCCTCCAGAACGTGTGATGGAGGGCTTGACACGGGGGGGAGGAAATGTGCTCACGGCGGCGTTGGCTCGCAAGAGTGGTCGAAAGGGAACTAGTAGGCCGCCACCTTGTTGACGGATGCTAGGGGATGGAGGACTTGACAGGTCCTGCCTTTGTCTTTGTCTTTTCTTTTTTCCCCCTTGTTTTCGTACCCCTCTGTGACGGCTTGTGTCTTACTGATGCTAGGCTCGTGACATTCCGAGACCTTGAGACAGACGGACAGACGGTGCTCGGCACAGTTCGAAGCGAGAAATGGACGTGCAATGTGTATAAAGCAGGCAGAAGCGAACACCTGGATGCTCTGGCCATTTAGCATTGAACCAGATGTGCGGGATCGAGCTCCAGGTTGGCCATCTCTTACACTGGTTGCCTGTTGCTTGCATATTCTTTTTTTTTTCTTCACCTTTTTCTTTTCAACTGTATAACGATCCCGAGTGGTATAACTTGATCAGACATACACTTCAGCTCCAGCCGTACAGCGTTGCTGCACTCCTCGTCAACGGCCCTGCTATGTGCGAACTCGTCCACTGCCCAGGTTGCGGAGAGCTCATCTCCGAGTCTCTTCCCGTCTCAGAATGTTTTACCTGTCAGTCGTATGTGATTTCCATTGCCACAGCCTGTGATTCGTTCTGGAGTTGACAACATTTCTGCAGCAATGATTCTCGCCAACCTTTGCGCGAGAGATCGACTTCGGCCCCTCCCTCCGGCACGAGAACAGAGTACACCCTGTTTGTATTCGTCGTCTACAATGACGAGCTCGTGAGCGTTTCAGACTATGATACATACGGTACCCGACGTCGGGGGAGCGACAGGGCTGCTTGAAGCATGAGGTGTTTTGAAGCTTTTGGATATCCAAGGCCGGATGGAGAGCGGCGTTGTATTGCTGTTGGTTGGACTATTTATTTTCATTGATTCCACACTACATCGGTGGATTGTCATGGTTAATATTATGCTTAAACAAGGGAATGCCTAGTATTCTACACCTCAATTTTGCTATCCAGCAGTCGCACTGCATATTTAACAGTACCTTGGTATCAAATAATAGAAGAGTATTAGTTAAGTTACGGTAGCAAATATTAAAAAAGAAATGTAGCCAGAGTAGCGGATACTAGAGAAATATAGCTGTGGTAGCTGATACTAGACGAATATAAATATAGCTGTAGTAGCAAATGATGGAAGAATGTAAACATTGTTCATGCCAATAATGAGCAACGTTTTCTAAGCAAATGTGCCATCATCATCTCTCGCATCATGTTGTACCGAGGTACTTGGCCCCTTCCTCGTGAACGGTCCACCACCATTCCACCAGATGAAAGACGGAAATTTCAAACCAAACACAGAAAAGCTACACAACGCAAGACTTTTTCTCTTCTCCCTCTCCCTCTTCTTCATATTCAGGATTTTTACTGTCCGTCTCCCAACATTGCCACGCTTCCATACGAGATCCGTATTGAGAGCATCAGCAAGACATCGACGAGGAGGGAGGGCGATGGCAAAGGTTTGCCAGAACCGACTCGGGTTATTGATATTATCGCATCGTAGGGTCACTGATGATCCTTTGATGCAGATGTCCCGTTTCCGTGCCCGTACGACCATCTTATGCGCCCAATTGGAGCCGAGGCTGGCTCCGAAGAGGCAGTGCATTCTGTACAACTGCTTTTGCTCCATCAAGGCAGGCTATAATTTCCACAATACGAGCTGATGGCCTGTGTGGGGAAACGAGCCTTGGAAAGCAGCGTGTACTCGTACAAGCCCGCTCGGGTTTCTCACGCATTCATTCATATGCCATCTGCGCTTCCCCGGACTTTCCCGCCATCTATGGAGTCCCGTTGCGGTGAGACTCTATGCCGCTGACCAAGAAGATCCCCTTTATGGAGTCATGGAGAAGCGTTGGCGTTGGTTCCTACTCGTACACAGTCACCGCCAAAACGGGTGAGCGATTATTAATCCTACGCCGTTGTGTTATCTGCATCGCCTCAACACAAGGGCGCGCCGAAAGAGACATTTGTGGAGCAAACCAATGTCTCGTATCCGCCAGACAAAGCTTGGTGTCGGGGCGTGTTGGAGACTCGGCAATTGCTGATTGAACGTGACTTATTTATTCAGTCGACGTCCCTCCATTGGACACCGGCGCTTCATCGCATTCGCATTTGCGTGTCACTCGGCTGGGTGATTCTTCAACATCAATTCCAAGCCAGCAGTTTTTTCCGGTGCAAGCCGTCACCATGGGGCGAACGTCTTTCGAGGATCAGCCTCAAGTAGAGTCGATCCAACTCGACTCGACAACAGCCGGGAATTCCTCGCCTTCTCCAGACTCCATCTACCCAAATGTCCCCTCGGAACACGAACATGAAGGAGTCTCGTTTCCTCCCGTCGACACGGGTAAAGATGCGATGCTGTTCTTGACGGCTTGCTTCATCGTTGAGTGTCTTGTCTGGGGTGAGTGCACTGTCTGACCTTTTCGGTTATCGTTATGCGTATCATCATGTGCTGCATGTCTAACGATAGCATTGTCTCTCTCTGGACTAGGTTTCCCCTTTGCCTTTGGTATTTTCCAAAACTACTACAGCACTCACGAGCCGTTCAAAGGCTCTTCTAGTATTGCCGCAATCGGTACAACTGCAATGGTAACCTTTCTCCTCCCTGTCATCTTCCATCCATCGCTCAATTGCGGTTGTCAATCGACACTTGGCTGATCGTGGCGTCACAGGGAACCATGTACCTCACCGCTCCCCTTGTTTTCCCTCTCATGAGGTTGTATCCCAAGCAAAACCGATATAGTCCCCTTGTAGGCCTCCTCATCATGTGTGCGGCTCTGGCACTGAGCTCTTTCGCACAGACTGTCTGGCACCTAATCCTAACCCAAGGTGTACTCTTCGCCATCGGCGGCTCGATCAGCTACGGCCCCTGCATCCTGTACATGGACGAGTGGTTTGTCAAGCGCAAGGGATTAGCCTGTATGTATTTCCAATGCTTATAAGGATTCAGTATCCTGCTAACTCCCTCAACGATGGTTTGATGTGGGCAGGGAGCGGTTTGGGTGGATTCGCAATTCCATTGCTGCTCGAGTTCTTGCTGGGACGATACGGACTACGAACCACACTTCGCATCTGGGCCGTTGCGCTTTTTGTGTTGACGATGCCCGTGGTGTACTTTGTAAAGCCCCGACTCCCGGTCACCGCCAAATCAAACTACAACCCATTCAGGCTGGGCTTTCTGCTTGACCGCTCGTTCCTGATGTATCAAGCAGCAAACATTGTCGAAGCCTTGGGATTCTTCATGCCCGGCCTCTACCTACCGTCGTACGCCAGCTCGATCCTCGGCTCCGAGGCATTCCCCGCCGCGTTGACTATCCTGGCCGTCAACGTGGCGTCTGTGTTTGGGTGCATCGCCATGGGAGTCTTTGTTGATCGATTTCACCCTACTACGTGCATCATGATTTCGACGGTGGGCACGGTGATCGGAACATTCTTGCTGTGGGGATTTGCGACCAACATGGCCGTCCTGTACATCTTTTGCGTCATATACGGCTTCTTCGCCGGGTCTTATACGTCTACTTGGACCGGTGTGATCAAGCAGGTTACATCTAAGCCGAGCCAGCCAGGCACTGCGAATGCGGGATCTGCGTTTGACCCAGTCATGGTCTTTGGGTATCTCGCAGCTGGCCGAGGCATTGGCAATGTTGTATCCGGACCTTTGAGCGAGGCCTTGGTCAAGGGCATGGCGTGGCAGGGACAGGCCGCCGGCGGCTATGGGAGCGGTTACGGCCCGGTCATTGCTTTTACAGGAGCCACGGCCGTGATTGGGGGCACGTCTTTCTTGTGGAAGCGCATCGGATGGATGTGATTTCTTGATAGCTCAGTACATGTAGTTGAGGCAATCTCGCGGAGCATGTTAGAAAGATAGAACCGGTCCGCTTGAGCCCGACCCTTTTTCGCCCCCATTTTGATTCTCCAGCCGTCGAGAGTCAATGACGAATAACCAACCTGTGCGGAGTAGCATCTACAGTGGCCCCCCGTGGGGAGCCCTGGCGCTAAATCCTTTTTACGGCGGGAAATTGAAGCGATCGCAAGATGGTCGAATTGGCGAAAAGAGAGGCGCGGTAAAGTGGAAACCTTTGACGCTTCTGGTGGGTAAAGAGGCAATTCTAGCCCGCTTATTGTTTATTCTCTATATAAAGGCGGCGGTTGTTGCTGATGTGGTGTAAATAGACATGCCGAGTATCAACCATGTTTCCCGGTTTCAGTACAAACCCATGAAGATGCATGATTGGCCTTGTTCACGAGCGCGTTTTGAATACTGTGTACGATACACGGGCATGTCCTTGTTCACAATGGGATACAAAGCAGAAATACATGCTTTAGCTTCACTCAATGGCCCAACTCTCTCTGTGCTGCTCAATAAGTGTCGTGTTTTCCAAATCCAAGCCTCTGAGAAAATGCCCGGCAATAAGGCAATCTGGCGTGTACACAGAGGTTACCTCCCCTCTAACGATACCACCTTGAGATCCTACACTAATCCTAACGATATGAGGTACTTGATCTGTACCAAAAGGGCATCTTGCCGAAAGAATGCGATATTCTCCGTACCTACGAGTACATGCGATGTGTAAAGGGGAGGCTGCCAGCAATGCTCAATCATTCTGTGATTGACACTGCTGGGATGTTTGTCACATGTACTAACTACCTCGCGCCCGAGGCAATTGGGCTTCATGTGCTGCATCTTGCAATGATGGCCCAAAACACTCGCGTGCATAAAGTACTGGAGTACTTGATATCATGTATCCATGTATCATGCAGGTTGGAAGCTGAAGCACGCTCAGATTCGCTCGAGTCCTTGCTCTCTCTGATTTGTAGAAGCGGAAAATATCTTTTCCCAACCCCTCTTCTTGCCTCGAGTTCATCCTTCAGCCGCAGGCGGTTTGCCCAGCGCTACTCCTCACCAAGATTCCCAACACCGCTACTCTCGCAGTCAAGGCTTCTGCTATACTTGACGTGGTGAACGAGCCAAGAGAAGAAGAGCAAGGTCAGTCGGTATTTAATTCTGCAATCTGTTGACGCCCAGGGAAGCTAACGGCTTGGGACAGAAGCCCTTCCTCCGGTAGTCAATTCTCTGCTCCCTGACCAGAAGTTTCTGGTTGCAATCTTGCCTGGTCCATCAAGTGACCCCTCGTACGAAGAATAAGGTATGGAAGTGCAGTAATGCTACACCTCGCCTTGCAGGGAGAGCAACGACACTAACGTCGTTTGAAGCGGTAGAGAATGGAGGACCCAAATGACGGGGAAGTGTTTCACAGGGTCTTCGATCAACGGGAGGTAAAGAGATGGGGCCAAAACAAGGTCAAAAAAAGCGGCCCATGTCTCCGTGAGTGGGAGGCAGGGACCCTCGAGTTTATTGCTGAAAAGACGACCATTCCCGTCCCCAAGGTGTATGACACCGACTGGCAAGACGGCAGGATGACGGCTCTTTACATGGAGTACATACCAGGCAAGACGCTCGATAAAGTATGGGACGAGCTGAAGAGAGAGCAAAAGGTTGCCATCGCCAAGCAGCTTAAAGGATACGTCGCTCAACTGCGCGAGCTCAAGGGCACCTACATCGGGGCTCTTGACAGGGGCAAAGCCTTGATTGGAAAGAAAATGCCTCACGAATGTGGCCCGTTTGATACGGAGCGTGAGTTGAACAGCTACATTATGGAAGACATTGCCAGCACGACGCCCAACATGCTGCGAAGGTACGCAAGGCACGCCCTCTCGCACGACCACGAGATTGTCTTTACCCACGGCGACATTGCTCCTCGCAACATCATCATTGGCGAAGACAAAAAGGTGGCCGCCCTCATCGACTGGGAAGAGTCGGGCTGGTATCCGGAGCATTGGGAATACATGAAGGCGTTTCAGTACCTTGAGCCCATGATGGACTGGCCGGATTACTTGGCCATCATCTTCCCGCCCAAGTACGAGAAGGAGTATATTGGCCAATGCTTCTTGGACAGCATCGTGTATCATTGAGGAGGGTGATGGGGGTTAGCTGGCGAGATTTTTTTTTTGTTGATATTAGGAAACTTTCAGATTGATGATGGATGGCGATATATGCAAAGGGTCGGACTACAAGCCAGCTATTTACACAAGTACAAGTATGCATTTACGCACTGCGTGTCACGTTGCCCGGTAATTTCTCTCGTTTAAAGTCTCATCACTGTGTATTTTGCATTTCCAGAATGCGTATTTTGTCATCTCTATATAACTCTTTCCATACTTCCTAAATCAATCAATGCCCTTCCTAAATCAATCAATGCGAAAAGAAAAACGAGAAGAAAAACAAAAACAAAAAGAAAACAACAATGTCAGTCAATAATAGCTCAAGAAAAACATCGGCGTCCATATTCCGAGCCACTTCCACCAACGTCGAGATGTCCACACCCCGGATGGTTTACCCTTGTGCTTGTTCAGCGCCTCCCTGATGCCTCTGTGCGAACAAAGTTCCTTCGCTCTCGGCGTCACAGGCCCCTGACAAGTGAAGAGCAACGTGTGTACGATGCTCTCCGCGCCCGCTTGAACTGCATGTTCGAGTATTGTAAGCCCATTGCCGTATTTGAGGTCAAGCCGGTTGCATGGTTCCTTCTCGAGCACCATCCATATACTGCTATGGATATCCCGGTTCCCCCTCCCAGCTGTCCGGATTGCAAACATCAGCGGGGTTTCGCCGTCTGAATTCCTCTTGCAAAGGTCTACGCCGCCGGAATCGAGCAGAATCTCTGTCAAGTCGCTATTTTTCAGAATGCAGGCTTCTATGAGCGTCCGACGCCCAGGGCCGCTGTCCTGGTTCACGTCGACTCGGCCCGATTCCAACAGCAGCCGGAGGTTCTCTCGCCTGGAGCCCCTGATGGCCCAGTGCGTCGCCGTCAGTCCGTTGTCGTCTACCTTGTTCAGGTCCACTCTCTCATCTTCAATAAGGGCCTTTAGCACGAAATGCTTCTTCCTTCGAAGATATACGGGAGTTGCTTCTCCCGGTTGTTGATAGCCCTCCGCGGCATACATGGCCGCCGTTTTCTTGTCGTTATCCTCCTGGTCCGGGTCAATATGGGGATTCCGAAGCAGTGCCCAGAGGTTGCGGAGAATACCACGTTTCGCGGCCAGCACGCAAGCGTTGCATCCGTCATCATCTCGTGCACAAACATCGACCCTTGAGTCCCCTAATAGCATCTTAACGATTGGTACGCTATCTGGTCCGTCTGAAGAGCTGGCCGCCAATATGGGAGTCGCGCCGTTTGTGTGTTTTCCATTTGGGTCAACTCGGTCATCGTCAAGAAGAAGACGAACTATATCGTGTCTGCAGCTTTGCGCAGCCAATCCCAAGGGCGTTTCGTCCCAGTCGTTCTGCTCATTGGGGTCAACTCGGCCATCTTCAAGAAGCGTCTTTACTACTCCCGTGCTACCGAAAATCACAGCGAGTTCCAAGCACGACTCGCCGTTTGTGTCCCGTATACGAGGGTCAATTCGAGGATCCTTCAGAAAGAGCTTCGCGATGGCCTCGTAGCCATGTGTGGCCGCGGACGTCAATCCGGCGCAGAAGCCACCGCCATCCCAGCGAGGTTCAGCTCCTTTTGAAAGAAGCAGCTCCACAAGCCTCGGTTGGTTGTCGTGAGCTGCCACTTCAATGGGCCTGAGGCCACGAGGATTACGAATCTCAGGATTGGCTCCGTGCTCCTCCAAGAGAAACTTCGCAAGATCAAAATGTCCCTTGCCGGTGGCGCGGTGCAAAATGGTCAAACCATTGCTGTTTTGTAGGTCCACGCTGACGTGGGAAAGATAGAGCTCTAGGAGGCGCCGCTGGTTATGTTTGGCAGCTCCGAACATTGGCTTCAGTAGAAACTCTGCGTTGCGAGCCTCTTGTTCGCGGGCCTCTTGATTGCGAGCCTCTTGCTCGCGGGCCTCTTCGTCGTCGGATGCTTCGTCGTCGGATTCTTCGTCGTCTGATGTCGTGGTTGTCTGTTGCGGGCGATCACCTTCCTTTTCATCTTTGCTTGTCCCTGCAATTCTGATGAAATCTTGCACATGTTGCCTCTCGAACAGCAATTCGGCTAAGCGCATGTCGTTCTGCTTCTGTGCGATTCTGAGGACCCTGTGCCATATCGCCTTCGGGGCAAACACTTCCGCCTGGGGAACGTTGAGAATGGTTGAAACCAGGTCCAATCTGCCTCTCTCGGCAGCCCATTCCAGAGCAGAGCTTTCACCGTAGCGGACGTTGTGTCGATATAGGGCGTGGTTGTAAAGGCCGTAGTATTCCTTGTTCGCAAGGCAAAAGTTGAGGATATCTTGGGGCTCGTCCATGTACCTTGTGAGAACCGTGTCAAAGACATCAAAGCCGAGGCGGGCTGGTGCCGGCTCGGCGGTATCCGCATTTGAAGATTGCTTCTCCATATTGCTGCTGCGTTGGGATTTGTCTTGCAATATGATGATGGGGATCTTTTAATCAAGGAAGCTTGTGATGATAGTGATATCAAATATGTAGGTATGGGTAATTGAGAAGCCGTGATATATAACTTTCGGATTCCTTTGTTTCACTGAATAGACGAAGTGTCCTGAGTGAATGTTGTCGCTTGCGAATGGAGCACGATTGAACAGAAACATGAGACGAACGATGGGCTCGTCCATTCTATGGTCATTATCAGAACAGCCAAGGTTGTGCAGCAACAAGGTACTCATCTCAGGCCAACCATCTTCAGCGCCTCTTCACTTTGGATTTTTGTTTTCTCTTTTGCTTTCAACTCTCTGGTTCAAAGTAAATTCAACGAAACCTTTTGTTCTTTGTTTTTCCCGTTCAAGTACGAGGTTCTGGCTGTAGTAAAAGAAACTCAATCTTTGCCTTAGAATCTGCATTAAACCACTGCCTTTGGTAGGTTACTGTAAATAGCCTCAATAAACTATTTTCCTTTATCTCCAATCCACCAATGTTCTACACTCTGTCAGGTGCAAGTACCTGTCCATTGTGCCTTCTACCGTTGTTCGCTTCGTTCAGCAAGATGGGCAATACCCCACTCTGCACTGCACTGCACTTGCCAGCAAAAGCGTTCACCTTTATCAAATTGAACTTTGCCTTACCTACTAACCTTAGTTGTGTTCAATTCTCTTCTACATTCACTCTTGTATTTCGTTTTCATCCACAGACGTTCAAAGCCAGTGGAACAAACTGAACTTGATCCAACTCTCCTCTACATCTAATCTTGTATCATTTCTCGTCCGCAGAGGTTGAAAGCGAGTGGAGCAAATCTTTGCCAGAGACAATCAAACTTGCCATAGGTCAGTTCAAATCCAGTCCCGCGAACAATCCATGTCCTCCCACAGGTACTAACGCTGTACAGTATGAGATCCAATCCCGCCCAGGCCGCCGATGCTCCGAAGTGCCAAAAACAGCACAGAGAGGGGCAAAGGAACGAATGACAAAACACGCCCCCCCGAGAGCCGCTGCGGCAAGCAAGGGTCTGCCGCGAGCGTCCGGGCTTCATTGGAGAATCCAGGGCCCGACAGGCTGTTTCGCTCTGTTCTCATCCGGAGCCAAAATGGCGAAATCGAGGCGCCCGGTGGTGAGATTGAGAGAAATCCCACATTGCCTTCAACGTTGCAGAGCGATGGCCCGAAGGACGTGGGGCCCCCATGAAGGACGATGGAGACACTAGGGATTTAGGCCGTCGTTAGTCGGAGGCGTCTCTTTTTCTTTCGTCTTCTGGGCTGTGTTTTGTCATCCGTGAGGCTGGCATCTCGAGTTCACCCTGACGATCATTGGTGTTCTCAATCTCCAGCAGAGACGGAGCACCAATGCTGATCAGCGACTGAAGTTACGTATACAGAGAAAAGGAGAAGACGGTCGTCGTCATCACCATCATCTTTGTCTTCTCCTTGTCCTTCTTTGAAAAATCAAAAGTCAAAACAGCAGGGAAGCAGCATGGAGTTGAAAGAGAAAAAAACCCCCTTCTCCACGCAAAAGCAGCGACTTCCACCAACCCCGATGGCCCGAGATTTCGCAATTGCGGCTAACCCACCAAGGGACAACGGCTCCAGGCACACCCTTGGAGAGCCCGCGAGAGAAAAAAAAAATCACCGCTTCGTCCTGCGCCGTGTCTCGCAGCTAATCTGGCCTTTGGGGGCATTTGCCCGCTGTTGATTGGCCTTGTGCCTCAAGCCATGCGGGACCCGGAGCATCGCGCCTCGAGCACGTCATCGCCAAAGTCTCGAGCCAAATGCCGCCATTTCATGGATTTTGGTGGCCCTTGTGGAGCAGCTGTTGACTGTTCCGTCACCAAAGATGCGAGCATTCTACGGAGTATCTGTTTGTCTGTCCATCTCCATCCATCTGGTGGGGGTAAAGAGAGAGAAGCGGCTCCTGTCTACGCACCAAGGGCTGCTTACGGGATCATCATCTGGTCCATCAGACGGCAAGCCTTGTCTTGGAAGTGTGTGTATTATGTGGATTGCTACGTTCTAGCATCTCCGGCGTGACCCCAAGAAAGCTTGCAGTATTTATAGTCTGGTGCTGAGACATCCACCCCCCATCCAGACTCTTCTTCCCTCTCTCCCTCTCTCCCCTCTCTCTGTCATTTCCTCCTCATTCCGCCGTCCTTGTCCTCGTGTCGTCCCGCCTGCTCTTTTTCGAATCTTTCCTGTTGCTTGCTTGCGTGCCTCCCGCCGGAGCTTGTTGCGTGACCAGCCGCGTCGTTGACACCATCTCGAGCAAAAGCACTTAGACCGTCACTACCCCACCATAGCCATGGCCAACTCTCCTCATGGCGGCGTCCTCAAGGACCTTTTTGCTCGCGATCTGCCTCGCCAGGCCGAGCTGCTGGAGGCGTCGGAGACTCTCCCCGCGCTCGTGCTCTCTGAGCGTCATCTTTGCGACTTGGAGCTGATTCTCAATGGCGGATTTTCGCCTCTGGAAGGTATGTAGACTGTCGCAACGTTTGTTAAACCCTTGCAGATGATTCCACTGCCCCGCGTGGCTGTTGGCGCATGGAAAGCATATTCAGAAGAGGGGAGAAGGGATGAAGGTGTCGTTTGGTGTCGCAATTGCAATTTAGCTGACATGCTCTTGCGCGTAGGCTTCATGACTGAAAAGGATTACAACCGGTATGTATCTTGGCATCTCATAAGGAAGACGGTGGCAATTGGGATCCAGGGAACTTGTTTCAACTAACACGGCGCTGCCAGAGTGGTCAAGGAGAACCGCCTCGAAAGCGGCCTGCTCTTCAGCATGCCCATCACCCTCGACGTGAACCAGGCCCAGATCGACGAGCTGTCCATCAAGCCCGGCGCAAGACTTACTCTGCGCGACTTTCGAGATGACCGGAATCTAGCCATCCTGACGGTCGAGGATGTGTACAGGCCAGACAAGTAAGATTCTCCTCGATGCCAATTTCGGCACAGTCTGCCCGATCAAACGAGACTTTTGCTGACAAGCTTGCGCGCAACTCCAGGGTTCAAGAGGCCAAGCTGGTCTTTGGCAGCGACGACGACACGCACCCCGGTGTCAAGCATCTCTTCAGCGTCGCGCAGGACTTTTACGTCGGTGGAAAGCTCGAGGCCATCAGCCGCCTTGAGCACTACGATTTCCTCGACCTGCGCTGTAAGTCGAAGCCGCTTCATGTGCCTGTCTGGCAACGGACCAGAGACAAGACTCTAACAGCCATGATTCAACAGTCACCCCCGCAGAGCTGCGATCGCACTTCAACAAGCTCGGCTGGCAAAAGGTCGTGGCTTTCCAGACGCGAAACCCGATGCATCGCGCCCACCGTGAGCTGACGGTGCGAGCCGCTCGCTCTCAGCAGGCAAACGTGCTCATCCACCCGGTCGTTGGCCTGACGAAGCCCGGCGACATTGACCACTTCACTCGCGTCCGCGTCTACCGCGCTCTGCTGCCGCGATACCCCAACGGCATGGCCGCCCTCGCTCTGCTGCCCCTGGCCATGCGCATGGGAGGTCCTCGAGAGGCGCTGTGGCACGCCGTGATCCGCAAGAACCACGGCGCCACTCACTTCATCGTCGGCCGTGACCACGCCGGTCCCGGCAAGAACAAGAACGGCAAGGACCACTACGGCCCCTACGATGCGCAGATCCTCGTGCAGCAGCACCAGGAGGAGCTGGGCATCAAGATGGTCGAGTTCCAGGAGATGATTTACATCCCGGACCGTGACGAGTACCTTCCCGCCAACGAGATTCCCGAGGGCACTCGCACCATGAACATTTCGGGCACGGAGCTGCGCAACCGCCTGCGGACCGGAAAGGAGATTCCCGAGTGGTTCTCGTATCCCGAGGTCGTCAAGGTGCTGCGCGAGCAGAACCCGCTGCCTCGCGAAAAGGGCTTTACCGTCTTCCTGACGGGCTACCAGAACAGCGGAAAGGACCAGATTGCGCGCGCTCTGCAGGCCACGCTCAACCAGGGCGGCGGCCGGTCCGTGTCTATGCTTCTGGGCGATACGGTCAGATCCGAGCTGTCGTCGGAGCTGGGCTTCAGCCGCCAGGACCGAAGCCTCAACATTGGCCGCATTGCCTTTGTCGCCTCGGAGCTGACCAAGGCCGGCGCCGCCGTGATTGCGGCCCCCATCGCCCCGTATGAGGATGCCCGCCAGCACGCCCGCGAGCTGGTTGAGAAGTCTGGCCCCTTTTTCCTCGTCCACGTCGCCACGCCGCTGGAGCACTGCGAGAAGACGGACCGCAGGGGCGTCTACCAAAAGGCCCGCGCCGGAGAGATCAAGGGCTTCACCGGTGTCGACGACCCTTATGAGACGCCCAAGAAGGCCGACCTGACTGTCGATCTGACGCAGCAAAACGTCCGCTCGATTGTGCACCAGATTATCCTGCTTCTTGAGAGCAACGGTCTCCTAGACCGACTGTGAGCGAGCGGCCGTCTTTTCTTCTTCCTTTTCAATTGTTTTGGCTTTGTTCTCCTTTTCCCAATTAAAGTATACATGTATATACATATACTGCTGCGTGGGTTGGAAAGGATAAAGAGTTGGCGTTTGGATATTGAACATGATGTTTATCTTGATGGAAAAGAAGCCCAAGTGGCTATTTACATGGAAAGAGTTGGATACGATAGATTACAATGTCTCCCAGTTAGTACAGGGCGCAGATCACGCTCCATGATATCCATTACTTGCAGGAAACGAGACTACCTACGTTTGTCTTCACAATCGCTACTGCATCGGTGACCTACGAGGAGGCTTATGCCACAGTGACTACATGTAAGTTCATCTACTGATTCTTTATGTGTGACGGGTCACTAAAGAAACTACAGGTGCCAAGATATGTGTGATGCCTTGTTTGTGGACTCCACTCTATCAACCTATATCCTACACTTTCCCATTAATTCATCCCATACACTGGACATGATCCGAAGCCCGTGTTCACAGAAGACAAAGAAGAAGAAGAAAGTCATGTATGATGTGGTAGCACCATGTATGGCGGCACGATCAACTGCGGGCCATGATTTGTTTGTGGTTGGTTTGTATGTGCCAAAGCGTTGGCGCGGCTTTGAGTGTCCAAAGAGACGCAGAAATGATGGTGGAAAGACAGGTTTGCGTTGTCGGAAGTTTTCAGGTTTGAGCGAATGGAGTGGAATCTTCAAAGATCAAAGCCCCCTTGAACAAGTGGTTCCCGGATGAGGGAGCCCCGATCACAAAGTACTGCCGATAATCTGATCGACACCGAATCCGCGCATCATACTGAGACAACAAGCCGGGGAGGCCTTCACAGTTCTGTGGCCTCGATATGACTGAGCGGACTCCGGAGTTGATCAGATTAACGGTAGCCCTGGCGATCCGAGGGCTAACACTCGGGGGGAATACACTGTTTCTCGGTTTGCTGGCTTCAAGCACAACTAACAACCGGATTCGTTAGCCATTGGGTAACTTTGGTAGAAGAGTCAGAGAAAGGGGGAAAGCCGACTTACTTCTGCTTCCACGGTTGGAGGAGAAACTGAATTGCGGTTGCAAACGGCAATCGATCCCTAAAAGACGCCAATGATTATCCCCAAAGCATTACTCCGCACGCTTCGTCTCGGATGTATTTGCCCGACCGGGCTGTGAGTCATCAACGGAATGGCTCTAGATGGAGTCTTTTCGTTTGTTGACAAGTCACAGGTGAGTTGGACTAAGACATTGGAGAAGAAATGCAGCGGGTTAATCCTTTCGGAGTAACGCTGGCGTCTTTTAGGGACCTGGCGAGAAGAAGAAAGAGATGGAGAGCGAGTGAATAGTGAAGTGAGGATAGAGGAGAAGAAGAAGAGAAAGACGAAAAGAGCAGATGATGGACGGGCTTTTATATATACAGGCAGAGAGAGGGAGAGGGAGAGGGAGAGGGAGAGAGACTGAGAGAGAGACTCGAAAGAGGGGAAAGGAGTTAATCTTACATCATGATTGCAATGCGAATTGTTTCTCGTGCATTCGAGGTGTTGTGATGATGCAACCGGTCTGCAACCGAGAGTGTTTAATTCGACAAAAGGTGTTGCCGGTGTGCCAACGTCTGCCTTGTCATTGGAGGGGTTGCGATCCTGCCAGCCTCGTTTGCGACTGTGTGCATATCAAGAGGTGGTATTTGAGGCTGCAACGGGATAAATGCTGGTATGATTCTCCACTGTTTGCAAAACATTACATTTCCCGGGCTGTGACGATTGGTTGAAGGTGCAACAATGGTCGCATTGTTGCATTTCGAGGAGTGAGAGGAGTTCGTATCAAGCGTCCTGTACTTTTACTGGACAAATAGAGGTTAAATTCTTATTTTATTCATAGTAAGGGACTAGTGATGGAGATGCGAGTGTTCTAGCACTAAAGCTGTGGCATAGACTGTTCAGCAGTCTTTTTATATTTCTTTTTCTTCTCTTTAATACGAATAATCAAGAGCCAATCTATCTGTAGCCAGCCTGATGGGCAACATATCGACTAGGTATCTTTGATGACCGAGGCACAGGATGAGTAAAGGACCGTGAACGGGGACCACACCAGAAGAGGCATAGCGTGGCAGTGGGAGGCATGTACAATGGTACTTGCTCAGGTACTGGAGAGGCAAGTGGCTTTTGTTGTTTGGTTCCTCCCGTTGCAGGCCAAAATAGAATCCAGAACCGAGAGCCCCACTTCCCACGAACGAACACAACATGTACTGAGACTTCTCTCTAACTCACTCACCACACCAACACCAACACCAACATACGAGCTGTAGGTACTTGACTCGGTACGAAAAAGACAACATTGGAAGTCTGGAGCGATGCCACGTCAGGAAGAAAGAGGGGGCGCAAGCAGCAGCAGCAGCAGCAGCGGCAGCAGCAGCAGAAGCAAAGTCGAGGGCAGTGCAAGTTGCAGTGCAAGTTGCAGTGCAAGTGCAGGACGCAGTGCAACCTGACCAATCGTGTGCTTTGCCCGCACCTCCCAATTGCACAGCGGCGTCAGGCCACGGTTGGGCGTCATTTTCATTTCCACTTCCATCTTCGTCCTTCGTCTTCAATCGTTCTGCATTTTCACCTCAGGCAACTCTGCATCAATTCTTCAAGGGTCCACGGTTAGGTAATCCTCCATCTCGTCTTTCTTCCTCCCCGCCCCGCCCTTTCATTTTCCTTTGTTCCATAGAGATTCTCTCTTCTTCAATTTAAGCGCCCTGCCTACATATCTAGCCTGTGACATGACGCACTTTTACTGATGTGCACACTTTGACTCGGCCGTCGCACAAAGTCACACTTGCTCTGGACCACCAACAGCAACAACAACAACAAAGCCCGTGCAGTGCCATCTACTACTATGTTCCCTTTGATGCAGATGCACGACAATCCACTCGTAGATGCCACATACTAACCTACTCCGTACTACTACCTACTAGGTACTAGATGACACAAAAACTGCATTCACTGCATTCAAACCATCCACTGCCCATCCCAAAAATCGTGCTCCATAAATGCACCTTCAGGCCACAATCCCGCTAAAAAGAATTGATTGATCTGCCCACATCCAAAAGCTCCAACGACCCACTGCCTTAGTACCCGTCAACTCCCTCGCCAAGTACCAGTACCTGAACCCGCTGTACGGAGCACCGCAACCCAAAACCCCAAGTCGCCATCAGGCACGCAGCTCCAGCACGCGCGTCCCACTGCAGATGCCCATTGCCGCTCGCTGTGCCACCCGACACATCACCTACCAGCGCCGCCTCTCCCCCTGCCCTCCAACCAACCCTCTCGTACCGGTACCAGTACCAGTACCATTTACGAGTACACCAACGCACCCATCCATCCCCAACTTCCGGCCCGTCAATTCTTTAGTAGGGGTCATCGCTGCCTGAGTGAGCTTCCGGCATCGATTTCGATTCCATTTCGATTTGATCCCCAACCTTCACCGTCCCCCCTCGCTCTTTTCGTTTCTGACTGCATTCAAACCTGCATCGCCGTCAAATCTCAGCGTTTCCGCCGGCCTGCAGCTCGCCACTCTCGTTTGCCCATTGCCCTGTGGCCTATCCCATCCTATCCTATCCCCAGTCTCTCTCGCCCTCCACCTCAAAGGGATCCCCCCCCCCCCCCCCCCAAAAGCACCAGGGAAAAAAAAACAAACCCCTGCTCGAAATCTCCATCCCTCTGCCTTGCCTCGCAGAACTCCGCAGAACCGCAAAACCGCAAAACCGCAAACCGCAAACCGCATCGCCAAAGGAGCCCGTCCCGCCAGCCCCCGATGGTGAGTCGAGATGCCGTCAAAGGAACGTGACGACGACGTCAATGTCGACGACCGCATGCGCGACAAGGCCCGCCGCTCAAAGTCGGAGCGCAAACCTGATCGAGACCGCCCCCACCGCTCTTCGAAATCCGCTCGCAGCTCCAGCGACACGCATTCCCTCACGTCCTCCGTCAGGCGGCACCGGAAGAGGGACGACAGGGACAGGGACCGAGACAGAGATCGAGATCGAGATCGAGACAGAGACAGAGACAGAGACAGAGATCGCGAGAGGGACCGCCTTCCTCAGCGCCCGGCCTCCATGTCCGACCTGGGCGTCGACGGCATGTCCAAGCTGTCTCTGGACAAGGATCGCATCTCGCTGCCCTATCCCTCCTTTGACAAGGCTCACAGCAAAGAGTCCATCGTCAGCCGCGACGACGTTGCGTCCACGTCCTCCCAACCCAAGGCATCCAATCCCCTGACGCCTGAACCCACCGACGTTGGCGGTGGCAGCGGTGCCGCTGGTGGAGGAGGAGGAGGAGGAGGAGGAGGAAGCGGTGGTGGTGGTGGTGGAGACGATCGTCGACTGAGGCCCGAAGACGCTCTTCATCGATCCTCGTCCAAGAAAGCCTCTCGTCCGCCTACGCCCCCCGAAACAGACGTCTCCGCCGCAAAGAAGCGTGCCGAAGACTTGGACCGCGGCAACAAGTCGAGCACCTCGAGGTCAGGCTCGCGCGCCGAAGACTTGGACCGTGGCCACAGGTCAGGCTCGCGCGCTGACGACTGGGATCGCGGCAACAAGTCGGCCGTCTCAAGGTCAGGCTCGCGCGCTACAGAAGAGAGATCCTCCAAAGTGAGCCGCCGCTCATCGACAAGCGCGGCAACACTGATACGCTCACCCAGCAACAAGATTCACGACAAGCTCCGGTCCTCTGTGCTCTCACGCTCCTCGAGCTCCGTCTCACGCCACACATCCAAGCGGTCTTCCTCGACTCGCAGCGTCAAGAAGAGCAAGCCCGAGCCGCTCCATGTCGACTCCTCCCCGTCCAGCGCCCAGGACTCGTCTCCCAAGACGCCCACCCAAGCTCAACAGTTCCCTCACCACCTCTACGGCGACTCGAAGCGATCTCGCACTCCCGCCTCGGGCGTTGACGGCGACGACTATGCGTCCACCATCAACTCGGGTACCGCCACGCCCGCCATGAAGGCGCCCACTCATCCTCCGCCTCCTCCTCCTATGCCTCCGCCGCCTCCTCCTCCCGCCGTCGACGTCCTCGAGGTACCCAGGGTGGACTACCTACTACAAAATGGTGGCCTCTCTCAGCCAGTCACCAGACATTTCCTATCAGTGATGCCCCTCGTCAACGGCACACTGAGGCCCGCAAACTCCCTCCTCAGCGGCGCCGAGACCCTCTTCACCCCGTTTGTCAGCCTCCTGGACCAGTATCAAACGGTCCTTTCCAAGCAGGGATCCGTTGCCGTAGCCACCGGCCATCGGTCAGTCGCTCGCCGCTTGCTCGACCGGCTCGAAAACGTCTTCTCCCGAGATCTGCCGCCTCACGGCTGCTCCTGCATCATATGCGAGAAATCCAACGAGCCTCACCGCGGCCTCAACTGGGGAGACGTTCTGGAATGGGTCAGCGGACGCATTGAGCTCCCTTCGTGGCCGCCCTTTGACCTGGCGGACATTGGCACCAAGGCGGCCGAGATATCGGGCGAAACCCCGCCAAGGCCAGACTCGCCCATCCAGCTGGATCCCGACATCGCCGAGGAGTTCAGGGAGCACTACTTGCGGCAGTCGAAAAAGGTCAGGTCCGCAGTCGACAGGTGGCTCACCAGCACGGGGGAAACGCCTGTGCCGCCGCCCCAGGACGTCGACGACGAGACGCTGAGCTTCGCCATCCTGACCAACCTCGACGCCGAAGACCGGCCCTACTTCAACGCCCTCCTCGCCGGATCGAAAGAGCTGAGACCGGCAACCCGCGCCCCTACTCCTCTCAACCGGCCGCGCAACGACTTCATCGTCAAGACCGGTCTCGCGCTGCAGCGGCTGTACCGCCTTCAGCAAGTTCCTCGGGATGCAGAGAGCGCCACATACCTCATCAAGAATCACCATACCCACGACCTCCTCATTACCCTGTCCAACATTAACAGTCAAGAATGGGAGATTTTGACATCGGGCCGCTTTGACGGATTCCTCTGGTCTGGTGCCGATGATGACTTCAACGGGGTAGAATCGAGGGGCCCCACGCCCTTCCGAGGCCCTTCGGCCATGGGATCCCGAACCAACACCCCCTTCTCCCCCTATTCCCGCAACACTACGCCGGCATCATTTATCAGCCTTTCGTCCACTGGCGGGGGGAGCCGACCTCCGGTTTCCAACGACGAGGAGATGGAGATGGCCGCCATTGCCGAGATTGAGCGTGAGATTTACCAGGGCATGGAGGCATTGGAGGATGCGTTCGAGAAGCTCCACCACCAGGCAGAGACGGTCCGAACCGCCCTGCGGCAGCGTGGAGCCGGACTCATGCAGAATCTCCAGAGCCGACGACGCATCGACGTGCTCTCCATCCCAGGCTCGGGTAACTCCCAAAACTCGGGCTACGAGCGACCTTCGTGGGCCGGAAGCGATGCCGAAAATGCCAGCGACGACGATTGGCAGATGGAAGAGTACGATCTTTATCCCGATGACTCGGCCAGCAACATTAGCAGCAGCCGGCACAGGCGACCAAAGAGGCGTGTTGAGCGTCGCACCCCGGCTCCCATTGAAGAGGAAGAGGAGCAATGATGAGAAGATGCAATACACCGCATGGATGTCAAAGTACGAAGAGAGAGTTTGTGTTTGAGAGACAAAAGAGTGCTCAGAATATACATGAATTGATGACGAATAACGAAAGCATTTCGAGTTTGGACTTTTATTTTTCCCCCACCCTTCTTCGACAAGCGAGCGAGCAAGCAAGCAAGCAAGCCATGGCACATGTTCAGCTAAGCATGATGACATATTTGCATGAATCAAGGATGCATGAATCAAGAATGGGGCAAAGGTTGTGGCGTGTGGATGAGAGAGAAGGCTTCATGTCAAAGACGATGAAGACAGAAAGCTTCGTGCTAAAGATGACGGAGAGAAAGCTTTGCCAGATATGACGAAGAAAGAGAGCTGTGCCAGGAGGATTGGAGAGCATTTCACTGAGACGGGGAAAAAAGAAAAAAGGGAAAAAATGGCCAGTGTTTGCCGGCGAGGCAGGCAAAAGGTCGAGGCCGAGGCATATTTGGAGTTGATATGAACAATGTACCTTGTCGGATACCATTTGTTGTACGGATTCTTTGTTTTTCTATTCTTGTCTTGTCTTTTTTCTTTCTTCTCCTGTTTAACTGGTTCTGGATGCGGTTGTTGGCGAGCAGTGATTTGAATGTTGCATTAGGCTTCCCCCTTTTCCCTTTTCTTTTCCCTGCTCTTGCGTTTTTTTTTTTCTGTCCTGTCCTTTTCCGGGAGAAGAGAGTGGGGGGGTTTATTCTGCGTGCAATGTTATTATGCATAATGATTGTCCTGGTGATTTACCTTTATCACTGTCATTTGTCACCTCCAACTTCAAGGTTGATTTGCTCTTTCAGGGGGAGTGAAAGCTGCGCGTGTGTGTATCTATCAAGTTTTGCAGACTCAAGGTGGGATTGGGAACACGACTTGATACGAATGAGATATTCAATGCAGGAACATGACTTAATACGAATGAGATGTTATTTGCATTGTTGCAATCAACAACAGCTGGCTGGTTTCCCCCCACCGAGTTGCCGCGTGGCTGATTTGTCACAACTCAACACAAGACATACCTTAACGTTGACGACCTTTTACGAAGCTGGCTCTGGGCAACCTGGCCGTTGGGAGGGGCTTCGTTGGGGGATGCCAGCATCTGATGGAGACGCGTACGAGAAAGCGCAAATAGCTTATAGCCGCTGTTTAATTCCGTCATTGTAACAAAACAAGACAATGTTACATATTCCTAATCCGGCATCATGAAGCTTGAACAAAGCCATGTTGAGGAATCACGATAAGCACCAACAGGCGCCACACACATGCGGTCACGAAAAGCCCAACGGCCTTTTTTTTTCCCCGAGACACGACACGACCGTCAGCGGAAAGGGCTGCGCTAAGATGCCGACACAAACTGCGGCCTTGGTTTCTGTGGGTTCCGAGGCGCTGCGGAATGCCGGCGCAAGGGCCGCCGCAAGTCCATAGGTGAGGCCCTGGGCGATTGCCGTTTTGGGCAAGTGTAGACAGCCAACCAGCGACAACCGGATGGCGAACCGTTTAATCATCAGCCGGCCGCTTTTTTTGTTTTTCTCGCCCCAAATCGGACATGTAAGAAAACAAAGGGAGGGAAAATCGGTGAAAGGGGGGACCAAATCAAAGATGCCGAAGTGGGCAGAGATTTGGGGGTTGAGTTGAGTTGCGGAGATCCGCTCTGGGTGAGGAGTGACGAGTCCAGCGCGTGTATAAAAGAAGGAGCAATGTCCTCGAGTTTGTTGATTCTTGAGGGAGTGACACTCAGAGCCATAGCCTTGTTTTCTAGTTTCTTCCAGCATCATCATCATCATCATAGCCTCGTCTTTCAACTCCTTCTATCGATTCCTTGTCCTTGTTCTTGCTCTTGTCAAGACTCAACGAGAACTCACATCAACATCATGCCTTTTCCTTATAAAAAGGAAATCACCGGTGACGAGCTGGTCGCCGAGTATGCCCCCATCATCAAGAACAAGACCATCCTCACCACGGGCGTCTCTCCAAACAGTCTCGGCGCGCGCTACGTCGAGACTCTCGCCGCCGCACAGCCCAAGCTGCTCATCCTCGCCGGCCGCGACCTGGCCAAGGTGAACCAGACCGCCGAAGCCATCAGCAAGGCACACCCGGACGTGCAGACCAAAGTGCTGCAGCTGGACCTCGGCTCGTTTGCTTCCGCGCGAAAGGCCGCCGCCGAGGTCAACTCTTGGGACGACGTGCCGGCGATCGACGTGCTGATGAATAACGCGGGCATCATGGCTACGCCGTACAAGATTTGCGAGGATGGATATGAGAGCCAGTTGACGTGTAACCATCTGAGCCACTTTCTCTTTACAAACTTGATCCTGGACAAGGTTCTTGCGAGTGAACTCAAGCGGATTGTCAACGTGAGCAGCGGCGCACATTGGTTTAGCGGTATTCGCTATGCGGATTTGAACTATGATGTGAGTAGCAACAACCCGTCCTCTTTTTTTTTTTCGTTTCTATGGATGGGCTGACGCAAGATTGTTGCTTTGAACAATGCAGGGCGGAAAGACTTATGAGAAGTGGAACGCATATGGCCAGTCCAAGTCGGCCAACGTGCTCTTTTCCATTGGCCTGGCCAAGCGATTCGGTGACCGTGGCGTCTTGTCGTATAGCTTGAACCCGGGTGCCATCATTACCAACCTCGGGGCTCATTTGGACTTTGCACCGGGAGGCGATTTGGAAGCCTTGGGTAGGTTCCTGGCTGACTGCCCGATATTGACTACTGGATTCGCTAATTCTTGTCTTTTCTTGGTCTATAGAGCGAGTTTCTAAACTGACTGGATCGCCGTTTGGTTGGGAGGAAAAGGAGATGCTTACACCGGAACGGGGGATTGCTACTCATATCTTTGCTTCTTTTGATCCTGTTCTCAAAGGTGTGTTTTCCAAGCTGGTTCCCCCCTTTTCTTTTTTTTCCTTTGAAATCATTTTCTACATTGCTTGTCCTCTTGATCTTGTTTTATAAGAAAAAGCTAATGGTGACTGTCTTTGATAGAGCACAACGGCGCATATCTGCTGGAAAAGGCTCGCGTGGCCGATTACTACGTCGACTCAGTTCACCCCCATGCCATTAGCGATATCGAGGCCAACAAGCTGTGGGACTTGAGTGTCAAGGCAGTTGGGCTGTAAAGAAGTGAATGGACGCAAGAGCATTTGATGACTGAGAAAACGTGGGGAAAAATAAAAGTTTGCTCGTATAAGAGAGAGAGAGAGAGAGAGAGAGAGAGAGAGAGAGAGAAAGCAAAGCAATATACCGACATATGCTAAACGACTCTGTCTGGAGACTGTTTGGCATCGCGGTCAAAGGCAGCGTTGTGATTGGGGATACCAGACTGGAGCCGATGACTAATTTTTGGTTTGGAAACGTACTCGCACATACTCCGTACACAAGAAGAAGCCCGGAGGCAGCTTTCCAAGAGCCATGTTGCAGGCTGTCAGTTGTCAGTTGTCAGCTCGCTCAAACTCTCCCAAGACGATGCAGCAGCAGTAGCCCCGGCTCTCGTAGCGAAGATGCAGCTGTCCAATGACACACACGTCAGAAGGTGATGAGCCCAAACCGAGACTTGAAACGGCAAACGCTGCGGAAACCCTGATTCTCCTTTTGGGAGGGGGAGCCACGAGGGTGATTCCCCGGAAGATGTGGGATATCGACAGGGTTGCCACGGGTATCGAGGCCGGTTCGTGGGCTCTCTCTCTCAAACAGATGGGCATCTAGCCACGTGGGTGTTTGCTGGCGGATGCTACAATACTTTGTGATTTGTGCCGTGCTGTTTGTTGCTGTTGTGCCTGTAAAGTTGCACACCCTCCTGTTTTGGCCGAGCAGCAAGATCCATCTCGGGATGCTATCTGCAATGTGTTTTCTTAGATTAAAGTATCCTTGTATCTGTTTAATGTTTAGGTATAGTAGGTACTACGTTATTAGCTAGTTGCACTCATTTCCATCTCATCAATTTAGTTTGCTGTTCGGATATACCTACATACCTTTATGCATCAAGATATCTCGTCTACCCTAGATCGCACCCTTACATAATAAGCCCCAACTAAACCGTTACGAGAATTCGGTGTTTTTGGGGGGGGGGGGGGGGGGGGGGGGGGGGGGGGGGGGGGGGGGGGGGGGGGGGGG